AAAAACATAACCATTTAAGCAAAATAGTGTTTTACCACAAGATAATCCTGACATAAAAGTAGTTACCATATTGTCTCTTTCCTTGAAATCTTTGAGTATAACTTCGTATACTGTAGCATCAAATATATCAAAAGAATGTAAAACCATTCAAGAGAATGACAGTATTACAGGGTATTTAGAATCAACTAACAGAAAACGAACAATGGTTTCTGTATAATCTCCTTGTCTATAAAAGTTTTTGTTTATACTATCACATATAATAAAATCCAATAAGATACAACATGCTAAGACCAATGGAGACAGAAGAGCAAAAGCTTGATGAGACTTCAAAACAAGATTATACTAAATCAGCATTACCTATTATGATGTCGTTTTCTCCAAAATAGCTGTTCCTATCATCCAATCTTCTCTGCCTCATTTCTGTTGAGCTCTTTTTCTGTCATTAGTTGTCAGTTTGTCTTCTTCACTTTGTTTTCTGCTCCATTCATTGTGGCCGCTCTGCCACTATTTCTGGATTCTTTGTGCTTTTCTTTTTTAGAATATCCTGTAGTATTCTCTGTAGAGTTGAATTGGTGGTTGCATATTCCCCTAGTTCCTCTTTATCCTGGAAGCACCTTATTTTTCCATTAATTTCCAGGGATAGTTGTGCAGGATATTTCAATCTTGGCTGGAGGTTATTATCTTTCAAAGCTTGAATTATTTCCCCCCATGCTCTTTGTGATTTGATGGTTTGTGCCGAGAAGTCTGCTGTAATTCTGATGGGTGTTCCCTTGTAAGTGATCTGTTTCTTGTCTCTGACGGCTTTTAATATTCTGTTCTTATATTGGATTTCTGGTATTTTGATTATTATATGCCTGGGTGTTGCTCTGTTTGGGTTGTAGGTAGCTGGGGTCCCGTATGCCTCATACATCTGAGTATCTTTACCTTTTGCTAAATTAGGAAAATTCTCTTGGATTATTTCTGTGAGTAGCTTTTGTAGTTCATTTGTGTCCCTACCTCTTCTTTTATGTTCTTAATTCATAAGTTATAGATCCTCTTATCATCTTCTAGTCTTTGTATTATTGCTGTTTGTTTCTTTGTTATTTTTAAGAAGTTTTTCATTTCATGCTCCCATATTACAAATCTGCCCTCCAGTTCAGATAATCTATCCTTAGTTTCTTTCAAGCTGTTATGCCAGTTTTTGATAGAGTTTTTAGTTTCCTGGTAATCTCTTTGAACCTGCTTCACGTATTCTATGCTTTCTCTATTTTCTCCATCAAACAATTCTCCCCTCTTTTTCTGTTCTTCCATTCCACCATCTGTTTTTTCTTGGGTGGTGCTTAGCATTTCTCTAACTATTCTGCTTATTTCTAGCTTCAGGTCATTAGTAACTTCATTCCTAAACTCATCTATGAGGCTCTGGAGATAGTGCTTTATGTCTATTGGTGCCGTGTCTGCTATTGCCTGTTTCTCAGGATTGGGGGCTGAGGGGCCTTTCTTGTTGCTCCCTCTTCCCATATTTTTTGTTCCTTATATATGCAAGCGTATATAGGAGGCCCAGCTTCCTTCCCTGTTGGCCACAGTCTGATTGAATTGCGCTGGCTAGGTGTTCCCGTCCACTGCAGCGCACCAGGGAGTTACAGACCAGGCAGCCTATGCGGGGCCGCCCCTCCAGGTCTCCTTCAGGCACTGGGACCTGGGCTGTGCTAGCCTACTGGGCCTCAGCCAGCAGCGTCATGTAGGCTAGGCACTGCTCACCAGTCCCGCTTCAGAGAGGGATATGTGACTGAAGTCACTACAGCGCCTTGTTCCGGCGAGTCTGCCTGGTCCCAGAATGTCCTCTGTTGGAGCCTCCTAGATTGTGGAAGAGTCCCAGTTTCTCTGACTCACCGCAGGTCGATGCACGGCTCCCCGCCCATCCTGCTCTCAACTCGGTTCACCGATTCCCTTCTCAGAGCTTTCACGAGTTTGTCTTCCTGCCAAGCCAATTGAGACGCAGCTGCGCCGACAGGAAACCCAAATCTCGATTCCATGCTGAGGCTTTATCTGTTCCTGTTATAGCACCAGGATTGCATTCCCAGTTGGTTTCTCTCAGCCCAGTTTGTTCTTGGGTCAGCAGGGCATATCTCCTCTCTTGCTTAGGATTCCTCACTCCACACCATTCCTGGATTCTAAGCTGGGTCTCTCAGAGAGCCTCCATAGCTGCTGCTATCTGTCCGCCATGTTCTCCCAGAAGCTGGGGCAATTTTTTAAAATTTTTTGGTACCAGGGATCAAACTCATGACCTCACACTTGCCAGGCCGGCACTTGTGCCATTGGAGCCATGTAATTGAGAAATGTTTAATAGCATTAAGAACAGATTCCTTGGCTCTGATTAAAATTTCCTTCTCAGTAGAGGCCTAGGGTAATCTTGCTACCCCAAATCAAGGCTGCAATAAATAAGGTCAAAGGTGATCAGGCAGATAGCCCTGATGGAAAGTGGTAAACCATTGAAAGAACTTCACAGCCATAAAAGCTAAAAATAACCCACAAGATAAAAAAAAAAACAAAAACAAAAACAAAAAAAACAAAAAACAAAAAACAAAAAACCTTTCATGGAGACAGGGTCTCCTGCTGTGCACCCCAAATTGGTCTTGAGCTTGCCGTCATCCTCTTGCCTCAACCTCCCAAGTGCTATAGGATTGCAGGCCTGTGCCACCACACCTGGATAGCAAGCTAAAATGTTCGAGCTTGATCAACCACCAAAGCTCTCTTCTTATAAACTTAGCCATAGGAGTTCTCTAGTTAATTTTTGAGAGGGGAATCTTTTTTAGACAGCAACCCCTGTATTCTCAATTTTTGTTTGACTCTTACAATCCTGTCTTTACCTGCAGTGAACGCATCCACCCTCGGCCTTCCATGGGAAGAAGGTCCTCTGCTTATGTCCCATTGCCATGCGAACTGCGCACTCTTTCCTCTCACTTTGCCCCAGTCTCATTCCGGGGCCCTGGCTCTGCCTGGTCCACTACAGCAGACTGAAATCCTTAATCTCTACCTGTCTCTGGCATCTCAGCTGGCCATAACAATCTTTTGTCTTGCGTTTCCCTTTCTCTTAAAGATGTTCCTTTTCAAACATCCTGGGGAGTTTCCACAGGGTAAATACTCAAAAGGAAAGTTTACTGTGGCCTTGGGAGTGACTCAGGGACAGAGTGCTTGCCTAGAAAGCAGAGGACCCTAGCTTCAAACTTCATTCCTCCAAGAAAAAAATAATAAGTGTTTATTGAATGTTATTCTGTCCCTTATCCAGGCCTTTCCTTTCCTTTCTTCTTTTTTCTTTCTTTCCTTTCCTTTCCTTCCTTTCTCTTTCCTTTTTCTTGTGGTAGTGGTGATTAAGCGTAGGGCCTTTGCACTGAGCTACATCCACAACTCTTTATAAAATCTTTTGTTTTTATTTTGAAACAGTGTCTTAATATGTAGTTCAGGCTGGTCTTCAATTCATTATGTGATGTAGGCCGGTCTTGAACTCATGGCAATTCTGCTTCGGCTCCTGAAAAAAAGTCTTTTTTGTTAAATTGCCCAGGCTAGACTTGAGTTTCCAGTTCTGTCTCAGCCTCCCAGACTGCTGTAGCTGTGTCCCAGTTCACCCAGGTTTCAGTCTTTTTCAGTCCCCACCTCAGGTGCTTTCAAGACAGCTTTACACAGACTTTGGCTTCTCTTGCTCCCTCTTAAGATTTACGGTTAGCAGACATTGATTCAGTTCCCTATTTCCTACTTTAAAATTTTTTGAAGACCTCAGTAAATACCATCAAATTTACCTATTTTTAAGTGAATACATCAATAGTTTTTTTAGTGAACTTACAGAATGGTGCAAACATTCTGTAAATAGGTTTTAGAGTATTTCCATCATTTAAAAATACCTCCCATACTCATTCACTATCAATTCTCACCTCAGCCAATGCTACTAGTCTGCTTTCTGTCTATGGAGTTTTGATTTTAAAAAATTCAGCTGGGTGTGGTGGCACACACCTGTAATTTGCTGCACTCTGGAGGCTGAGGCAGGAGGATCACCATGAGTCCCAGGCTGACCTGTGCTACAAAGTGAGTTTAACACCAGCATGGACTGCACAGCAAAACCCTGCCTCAAAAAGACAAAAAAAAAACAACCCAAACAAACCAGCAAGGACATTTCAACTGATAAGAGCTAAGTCACGTATCTGTTAATTGAATAAGTCAAGTGTTTTCCTATTTATTTATTTTAAAAATTTATTTATTTATTTTGGTACTGGGGATCGAACTCATAACCTTGAGCTTGCCAGACAGGTGCTTATGCCACTGAGCTAAATCCCTGGTCCTTCATGTTTTTTAAATTAATTAAATAATTAATTTTGAGACAGGATCTTGGTATGCAGTTCAGGTTAGCCTTGAACCCACTACAGAACCCAAGGTAGCTTCAAACTCACAGTGATCTTCCTGCCTCAGCATCCTGAGTGCTGGGATTACTGGTGTTACCATGTCTTCTTGTTTTACTATGGAAACTTATTACATATGTTGAGACTGTTGTATATGCTGCTATTTCCCCAGATTCTAAAATAGTATGGGCTCAAGATATCATAGGTGCTTATTAAGACTGAATAATAAATGAATGAAACTTTATGGAGAACAACATAATAATAGCTATTACAATTTAGAACGAACACAACTATTGATTTTCTTTAGGACTTTATCCAATAGATATTTTATGTGTGTGCAAAACAGAGAACGTACAAGGTTATTTGTTGTAATATTGTTTGCAATAGTGACAAGAAAAAATTACCAAATTTCAATTTCTAAAATATATCACCTACATGTACACAATGGAATAAATCAGATTCTATGCAGACAGGGAAGGATCTCTTATTCTGAAAACTCTTTTGCTACTTTTGGCACAATGTATGAGACGTGGGTACCCCAAGGCTCTGGCAGTATCAGTATCTCAACACAAATGATACATTTCAGTGAAGTGTTTAATACTAAGGAGGATAAAGATAAATAGGTAGAAAGAATGAATTATTTGTGCAGTTTTATTTAATGAATGTTAATTTCCTTGTAAAAAACATAGGATTTCTTCCAATTAAATAACATTCTAGACAGAACAAATGCATCTGTGCACAGATACGCATGTCATACAAAGATCCTTCATACCTCCAAATTTCATGCACAAACTGGCAGTCCTACCATTTATGAATTATGGGTGGATTTCCTGTTTGACAAGCCAACCTCTCATCTATGGGAAGAGGTTTTGGGTTTCAGAATGGCTCTAGTGTGCATTTCCTGATCCAAGGGGTGAAACTCCCTGTTGTTCATAACATGATTGTCCACTGGTGGCTACAGCGCTCTTTGCAGGGGGTCTTTCACACCAGAGTCAAACACAGATACAGACACACACACACACATACACGGGATAACTCCCCGATCTCATCAAACTATAATTTGCTCACTATTCCTCAAAAAGAATTTCTATTTCTTGTCATTCTACCATTTTCCCTCTTTTTCTCATTGTTCTCATATGGAATCCTACACAGCTTCTAGCCAAAGACTATCATTGTTGGGCCAGGCAAAACCCCGCCTCATCTCTCTCCTAACAGGAAGTCTTCCCTGACTATTTCACCCGTTAGTAACCTGAACTCTGACCTTCTTTGGCCTTTATCCAGCATTGGCCTCTAACCCTTTTTGCTGCTCCGAAGTGTGAATTAGCTTGCACAAGTTTTCTGAGTGACTGTCCCTTAGTCTGCAGACCCATTACTGGCAGACTCCTATCCTGTTTTTCCTATATTTCTTGTGCACCTACATAGTAGGTATAAATGTGTTGGTTTTAAAACCCAACCTATACATTGAAGGTTCTTTACAGATTTTCCTAGACTCAGTGGACGCTGTGTGTAGGAACGGGGACGCTCTGTTGGCGCAGCAGGGTGAGAGTGTGGCATCAGAACTCATCAGCTGACTCAGTATCCCAGCCGCAGGACTGCAGTTCATCCTGTGTGAACTCAACCTCGATGTCATAAACGAAATCTGGATCGTCCTTCTTCTTCTGATTTTTCTCAAAGAGTTCATCCATGATGCTCTTCCTTTTGGCAAGCTCCTTGTCATCTAATTTGTTCAAGTCTTCCTCGGGATCAATGGTTGTTTCCTGCTGAATTTGTTCCATTGTTGCTGCCAGACTCTGTCCACATAAGTGACCGCGGAGAAGAGTGAACAACTTCTCTAGCTGCTTTGGGGATACCTGTTCCAGGTAACTTTTGTGGCGTGGATTATTCTTTAATTGTTCAGCAGCTCTGGTGCAATCTAAGAGGGAGGAAAAAAACCCGTCTCTCTACTGCATATATCATGAACATCACAACTACTGCACCACAAACCACTATGAGATCAGAACCGAACAAAAAGCTCTGAGTTCTGAAATCATATCTTAATGATTGCAAAGTGACTAAAAGGCTTTAATGTAATGAATTACTTTATATATATTTTTTGGTACCAGGAATTGAATGCAGGACCTTACACTTTGCTAGGCAAGTGCTGTGCCACAGAGCTACATCCCTGGCCCAGAATAAATTATTTTCTAGAATTATTCCTTGTAATAAATTGAGCTTGAGTGTGGAGGTGGAAGGGTGAATACATTTTTTGACTTCTGTAACTTAAAATCACTTGAGATGCCAAAAGCTTTCAACTAAAGAAAATGTGAATTAAAAATGACAGTATAGCTTTAGGTAGCAGTGGCGGTACTAATAAAATATCGAGATTATAAATGAGGGTAATACATTCGGGACCCTTCCTGTCTCTCAGGAGCTACTGCTGTTCCCCATTCCTTTTCTTTGATAAAATTTCCTACTTTAAAACAATTATAAATTTAAAAATATGGAGGTAGAGACAGGAATTAATATTATTGAATAATATCCTTTAATCTATAACAATCCTCTGAGGATTAAATTATCAATTATCAAACTGGAAAAAAGATGATCCATACTCTTTGTGCCTTAGGAAACTGAAATTCATTAACAGTATATAATTTGGTGGGGCCCTGGGTCCAGACTCTGACAGTCATAATTTGATCTGTGAGAGTCACAGATTGGTGAGCCCTGAAAGCCATGTCCCTACATTGCAGGAGACGGTGCCTATTAGGTGACTCAGAGAATATTTCCGATACAAGGCAAGATAAAACACGAGTTACCTGAGAACTTAGAAAAGTTTCGGACAGGCATGATACGCTGGCGATTCTTCCCCTTGACTTCATTCTCATAAATTAAGATAATAGCTGGAGGCTGGAATCTAATTCCACATTTCTTGGCAGTGTACATCGTTCTCACATATATTTTAGGATGAATCAGAGGAAATCCGATGCAAATGTGTCAGTTGCATAGTAACTTCCTGCTGAAGAGGAAAAAAAGAAAAAATAATACCTAGGTATCGGGCAAATCGCTTTTCCTCTCCTCTTGCTCCCCAGCAGGGCTGGTTGTCGTCTAGTTCTAGAAATGCACAGTTGGCCTGGGAAGTGCAGTACTTGAAGGCCGGGAAGTTAAGCTAGGTTTGTTGGGTCTTTCAGACTCTGGTTCCTTGAACAATGTAGGGTTGTTGCTCACAGGTAAGCCTGGTAGTACAATTCTAATTTTAGTATGTGTTGCTGAAGCCAGTACTGTGTAATGCAGTTTGATTTTAGTGTACTGTACTTACTGAAGACTGAAAGAACCTGATTTAGCACAAGGACTGATGTATGGCATCTTCTCTATTTTTTTTTTTTTTTTGTCTTTTTTTTGAGACAAGGTCTTGCGCCATGCAGTTCAGGCTGGCCTTGAGCTCACTTTGTAGCCCAGGCTGGTCTCCAACTCACAACAATCCTCCCACCTCAGCCTCCCAGTGCTGGGATTACAGGCATGAGCCATCACGCCCAGTTGGCATCTTCTCTATCAATTAAGGAAGTATATATCAAATGTCCTGGTCTGTATCAAAGAACTATTGGATTTTTAACTTTAAACATTTTGTCCTGAGAGGGTCACCAGACCAGATGTCTCCCTTGTATTTTCTTGATTATTTTATTCATTAAGAGGGTATTTTTGGTAATTACTGGTTTAAACATCTACTTCCCTTCTAGTCTATATGGGGAGCAAATCTACTTTTTTTTTTTACCACAATCTCTCAGCAAGATATATGGAATGTGATAAGCAGTGCATGCATACTTGTTTAAGGCTATGTATTAATATTTAAACACAGGTCCTGTATATCAGCTATATACAATCTAGAAGTCTGGTCCAAAATGCAGACTTAACCTAGGCATGTTGGCATATTCCTTTAATCTATGCTATCTGGAAGGCTGAGGCAGAAGGATTGCAAATTCAAGGCCAGACTGGACAATTTAGGGGGACCTTATTAAAAGAAAAAAAAATAGAAAGAAAAGGGTAGCTCAGTGGCAGAGTTCTTGCCTAGTATGCATAAGGAACTGGGTTTAATCTCTATTACCGGAGGAGTGGAGGGTAAAGGCAGATCTGATAGAGAATCAACCTGTCTGTGCAAGACAGTAATGTTTATGTTTTACATGGCTTTTGTTACAACTTGTTTGTCTTACTATGTATTTTTCCTGTTACAAAAAACACTGTGCTTTGCAGATTACATATTTTCCTTTTTCTCCTTTCTTCTCTATCCTCAGAGCCAAACTACATTTAATTATAGGAATTGCTTTCAATGTGTCTATGACAGGCTTAGGAAGATTTGCAAATGTCAAAAGTATTGGCATAGGGTGATGTCACTATCAGCCTCATTTTGTTGTTTTGTTGGAGAATCACTATAGGAACATAGTTTTAAAAAATTTTAGCTGGACATGTTGGCATATGCCTGTAATCCTGCACTCTGGAGGCTGAGGCCAGCCTGGGCTATATAGTGAGTTCCAGACCAGCCTCAATTACATAGTAAGTCCCTGTCTCAAAAAAACAAGAAAAAAAATTAAGAGTAATTAGACACAAGCATTATGGAAAACTAGGGTCAAGGGCAGAAGAAAACATCATCCAGCCTTTTTCTAGGCATAGTTTTATAAATTATAGAGTATTGGCATATCATTCATTGTTGGGAGCCGCAGCCCCGAGCCCGGTCGCCTCACTTGGCGGACGTGAGGCCTGTAGTAAAGAGTAAAGCCTGAGGTAGATTACCCCTCCCATCGAGCACGTTAGTTTCCTGCTTACCGCGTAAGCAACCCGCTCAACAATATAGTCTGCCTGGCAACTGATGATGTTAGCCAATCAGCTTGCCTTGCTTACTTTAACATGATTGGACACTGTATCCGTATATATACTGGTGCCACCCCTGGGGGGGAAGAGGAAGCCCGGTAGAAGCCCGGAAGTAGAAGCCCAAAAGGAGCCGCGGAGAGCGGACCGGTAGAGGCTTCGGAGCGAAGCCCAGAAGGAGCCTCGGGGAGCGGACCAGAGGAGGCTTCGGCTGGGAGCGATCCCAGGGCAGGCTGTACGGAGAAGGAAAATAAAAGAAAAGGTTGTCCACTGCCAGACTTTGTCGTGTGTCCTTCCTGCCGGCCGGGAGCGGACATCGACATTTGGAGGCCCGCCCGGGGACTGATCACCCCCGAGACGTGGAAGTGGACAACGCTCCAGTACAGAGCTGCGAGACAGGTGAGTTGGGGATAAGCCTGGGCTCTGGGTGGCGCGCACCTACAGGGCTTTTAGACTCCCCTCAGGCTCACGCGTAAGTGGCGGATTCCTTGGGCCTCACGCGGTGAGTAACATATTAAAAGATGGGAAACATGCTAGGTAGCAACACTAAGAGCGAGGGTGGTTGTGGAGAAAGCTCTCAAGAGCTTACAAAAGTACGCAGGGTATTTGAGCAGGCCCAGTCAGGGAGCTCCCGAGAGGGGCCCGTCAAGGGGAACAAAGATGCTAAGGAGGAGGACGGGGCTCTAGCCTCGGAGTCGTCTGACTCCGAGGACGAGGGAAAGTTGAATGGCAAGGAGGCCAAAGAGACCAGCTGTCAGGAGCCCAAGTCGCTCGATAAGGAGTCACAGGGTTCTTTTCCAGCGTTGCGCCGCGAATTGCGCTCTGCTCAACCTGGTCTGCGGAGGAGTAGAGAGCTCCTGAGCGCTCCCCGGCGCAAGAGGGAGGCGATCCCTCGCCACGAGGCGGCCGCCTGGGAGCTCCCTCCCCTTTCGCCAGAACAGGAAGTGATGCACGGGCCCCCATTTTCCGCCCAATCACGGCCGCCGTCTTATGCTCCGCCGCCGGCGGGTCGGTATTTTTACAGGCGGCTTTGGCAGGGGGGACGCTTGTCTCATGAGGTACATCCACCTGGGATAGATAGTGGCCCCTACGGGATATTTCCTGTACAAGTAGCTATGGGCCAGGGACGCAATGTATGGGAGCCTTTTGAGATAAAGCAGATTAGAGAACTTAAAAATGCAGTTACAACCTTTGGGCCGACTGCGCCTTACACCATTGCCATGCTGGAGAATCTGTCTTCTGGGCCCCTCACCCCCGAGGACTGGATTCAGCTGGCAAAGGCGTGTCTGCCCTCGGGTAGTTACCTGGATTGGCGAGCCTGGTACGCAGAGTTCTCTGCAGAGCAGGCTGAGAGAAACGCCAATCGGGGAAACCGGGGGTGGAACAAGGAAATGCTTATGGGAGAAGGTCGGCACGCTGATGATCAGACTCAATTCCCCGGCGCTGTCTATGAACAAATCAATGCCATAGGGCTCCGCGCCTGGAAGCAGATAAGTGGTGCCGGAACAGCCTCCTTGTGTCTTTCAAAAATAATTCAGGGTACCACAGAGCCATTTGTTGACTTTGTGGCCCGAATGCAAGATGCTGCCGATAAGATATTTTCTGATCCGGGAGTGGCTCGACCGCTGGTAAGGCAGCTGATTTTTGAGCAATGTACAAAGGAGTGCAAGGCAGCGATAGCTCCTCATAAGAACAAGGACCTCAACGCCTGGATTAGGATATGCAGAGAGATAGGGGGGCCGCTCTCCAACTCGGGAGTGGCTGCTCTCCTGGCCGCGGCTGTACAGCAGAGGGGACCTCGCGGGTTAGAAGGGGAATGTAAGGCTAAAGGGTGTTTTGCCTGCGGGGAGCCAGGACACATTAAACGTCATTGCCCAAACAATACAGATGCTAGGCCTCGCCCTAGGAATGAAGAACCATATGTTTGTGGGCGATGCAAGAGGGGATCACACAAAGCTGAGGAGTGTAGGTCGGTCTTTGATGCTCAGGGCAACCGTATTTGTGGACGAGATGTTAGAGGGCCAAAAAACGGCCAGAGGGGGCCCCCTTCACAGGCGGGCCCCCGCCCCAGAGACAGGACAGCTCAGGATGGCAGCCTTCAACAAGGGCCACCCCTGGGTCAGCAGGTGTGGACCTCAGTGTCGCCTCCAGACTTATACAGAAGGTCACCATTAGGACGGATGGCGTTAGGACCCTAAATGACATGCAAAAGCTATTGGGAGACATTAATTGGATTAGGCCATATTTACATATACCAAATTCAGATCTCAAACCCCTGTTCGACCTTCTAAAGGGAGACCCAGATATAGCCTCCCACAGGAGGCTCACTCCTGAGGCAAGAGCTGCCTTACAGAGAGTGGAGGAAGCCTTAGGTGGGGCTACCTTACACAGAATTGAACCAGGGCGACCCTTTGATGTCTGTTTGCTACAGACTAGTCTACAGCCCACAGCGGTGATTTGGCAGAAAGGACCATTACTGTGGATACACCCTAAGGTCTCACCTGCAAAAGTCATAGAGCATTACCCGGAGGCAGTCGCTTCATTGGCCCTTGAAGCGCATGATAGAGCTGTCCAACATTTTGGCTCAGGACCACAAGCCATCCAAGTACCCTATACCGCCAGCCAGATCAAGACCCTGGCTGCCTGCATAGATACTTGGGCCATTCTGAGATGTGTTTTCCATGGGGATATAAACAATCAATACCCTAAAGACCCTATCTTGTCATTTGTCACTCAGCACCCTATAATTTTTCCAAAGGTTACTGCCTCTGAGCCATTAGTCCCAGCAACTACAATATACACAGATGGCTCCAAGACGGGGATAGGCGCCTATGTGATCCTAGGCAAGCCCCCGGTTACCATACAATTTGAACCAGATCAGCCTCAGGTGGTGGAACTGCAGATCGTTAAAATGATTCTTGAATGGTTCTCAGAAGCCATTAACATTGTCTCCGATTCTAGGTATGTGGTCAATGCTATGCAAGTGCTTGAGACTGCCGGTTTAATTAGATCCACTTCCACAGTGGCTGGGCTGTTCCTGTCTATCCAGACATTGCTTCAGAACAGACACCATAAGGTCTTCACCACCCACATAAGAGCACATACATCCCTGCCAGGGCCCATGGCACAGGGGAATGCGGCTGCTGATACTGCCACTCGCCCGTTATGGATTTTTACCTTACTAACACCAATCGAGCGAGCCCGTGCCTTCCATGATAAGTTTCATGTCAATGCCAGGACACTAGCAAACCATTTCCATGTTTCCAGAGCAGATGCACGAGATATCGTGCGACTATGTGACTCCTGTGCCACATACAAACCTGCCATACCGATGGGAGTAAACCCTCGAGGTTTGATCCCTGGTGATGTTTGGCAGATGGACATCACACATATACAGGAGTTTGGGACTCTTAAATATGTTCATGTTTCCACAGACACCTGTTCTCACGTCATATTTGCAACAGCAGAAACAGGTGAAAAAGTGTCTAATGTGATCAATCATTGCCTGGCAGCTTGGGCCGCATGGGGCAAACCAAAAATATTAAAAACTGATAATGGACCAGCCTATATAGGCAAAGCCTTCAATGAGTTCTGCAAAATGATGGAGGTTCAATTAAAACATGGTATCCCATACAATCCCCAAAGTCAAGGAATCATTGAAAGGGCTCATAGAAGCCTCAAAGAAATTTTACAAAAACAAAAAGGGGGAGTAGGCCAAGGCCTGGCCCCAAAGGCACGATTATCCATGGCACTATTCACACACAATTTTTTAAATTTAAATAATGATAATTGCTCCCCAGCCGTGGAGCACTGCAACCCTTCCCCCAACCATAAAGGGTGGGTGAAGTGGAAAGATGTCCTGACAGGACAATGGATGGGCCCGGATCCAGTGGTCAGCTGGAACTGAGGCGCGGTTTGTGTTTTCCCACAGGAATCGGGACGAGAACCACTGTGGGTACCGGAGAGACTGACACGGGCGACAAAGCCCTCGACTGAAGATCAGACCTGCCCTACCGGAGATCCATCACAGACCAACCAACAAGATGAATAGAAATAGCGGTAGCCCGAAATGGACAAGAAGATCCTCAGGCATATGCATGGCTCGCTCGCCTAGCCTACGACCGAGTCTAGGGACGGTGAGCTTCCCACACTCCTCCTCTAAAAAATTATGACATAGCTGGGTAGGAGAGTCAATGACGGGTAAGAGCGTACTCCCCCGGTGCGACTCAACCTAAGCCAGGCCCTACCCCATCCTGCACGTAAGCCGCTGGACTGTTAGATGCTGCCCAGGTCTAAATTTCTCTCCGAGGGGATTTCTTTACGGAGAGGAAATGAGTGCAAGCTTGTGTGCATCCAGGTTCCGTCCAGTTTGTGCCTGGCCCTAGAAAAAGGACGAGGGCCTCAGGGCCTTGGCAGACCATGGGACGGCCGACCAGGGTCTAAGCCAAGGACCTACGGTGGGCCTACGCATAGGGCATAAGCCTCTGCACCCAGTCCAGAAAGGGCTACGATGCGCACATTCATAAAAAATAAAAAAGGGGGAGATGTTGGGAGCCGCAGCCCCGAGCCCGGTCGCCTCACTTGGCGGACGTGAGGCCTGTAGTAAAGAGTGAAGCCTGAGGTAGATTACCCCTCCCATCGAGCACGTTAGTTTCCTGCTTACCGCGTAAGCAACCCGCTCAACAATATAGTCTGCCTGGCAACTGATGATGTTAGCCAATCAGCTTGCCTTGCTTACTTTAACATGATTGGACACTGTATCCGTATATATACTGGTGCCACCCCTGGGGGGGAAGAGGAAGCCCGGTAGAAGCCCGGAAGTAGAAGCCCAAAAGGAGCCGCGGAGAGCGGACCGGTAGAGGCTTCGGAGCGAGGCCCAGAAGGAGCCGCGGGGAGCGGACCAGAGGAGGCTTCGGCTGGGAGCGATCCCAGGGCAGGCTGTACGGAGAAGGAAAATAAAAGAAAAGGTTGTCCACTGCCAGACTTTGTCGTGTGTCCTTCCTGCCGGCCGGGAGCGGACATCGACAATTCATACTGTTTCCTGACTTATAAAAGCTAGCTCACATGAATTCATCATTAAATATTTTACTAATATGTAGTTTTAATCTGATTTCCAAGTGGATTTGTCTCACAGATATACCATAATCTATATTATCAATTCTTTTTTTTTTTGATACTGGGGATCAAATTCACAACTTTGCACCTGCCAGGAAGGTGCTGTGCCACTGAGCCATATCCCTGGCCTTATATTATCAGTTGTTATTGTTGGGTATGAGAATCTTTACTCTGAGAAAGTCATGGTGTGGTGGCACATGCTTGTAATCCCAGCACTGGAGAGCTGAGGCAGGAGGATTGTTGTGAGTTTGAGGACTCACAGTGCAGTGTTTCTTACAGCTGGACTACATAGTGAGTTCAAGGCCAGCTTGGATTATACAGTGAAACCCAGTCTCAAGAAACAAACAAACAAACAAACAAACAACAAAGTTAGTCATAAGAATGACTTTTTCCATATGAATTATCAAAGCTGAATCAAGAAGATATAAAAATCCTAAATAACTCAATATCAATAAATGAAATAAAAGATGTAATTAAAAACCTGTCACCAAAGAAGAGCCCAGGCCCTGATGGATTCTTGGTTGAATTGTACAAGAAATTTAGAGAAGACCTAACACCACTACTTCTCAAACTCTTTAATGAAATTGAAAGGGAAGCAATACTCTCAAATTCATTCCTGAAAGCAAGCATTACCCTGATACCCAAACCACAGAAGGATCCAACTAAGAAAGAGAATTATAGACCAATTTCCCTAAATGACCACTGATGCAAAAATTCTCAGTAAGACACCGGCAGACAGAATGCAGCAAATCATCAAGAAAATTACACAGCATAACCAAGTGGGATTTATCCCTGGGATGCAGGGATGGCTCAGGATATGTAAATCAATAAATGCAATATACCATATTAACAGAGCCAAAGATAAAAATCATATCATCATCGCAATAGATGCAGAAAAAGCTTTTGACAAAGTCCAGCACCCACTCATGATAAAAACTCTACAAAAAATAGATGGTGTTTATCTCAATCTGCTAAAAGCCATGTATGACAAACCAACAGCCAACGTCATACTAAATGGACAAAATCTCAAAACTACCTCTCAGCTGGATGTGCTGGCTCATGCTATAATCCCAGTACTCAAGAGGCTGAGGTGGGAGGATCATTGCGAGTTCAAGACCAGCCGGGGCTATAAAGTGAGCTCAAGGCCAGCCTGCATAGCAAGACCCTGTCTCAAAAAGACCAAAAAACAAAGCAAAACAAAACAAAAAACCAACTATCTCTCTAAAATCAGGAATAAGACAAGGACGTTCACTGTCTCCACTCTTATTCAACACAGTCCTAGAAACTTTAGCTGGAGCTGTTAGACAGGAGGAAGAAATAAAAGGAATAAAGATAGGAAAGGAAGAAGTTAAACTATCATTATTTGCAGATGACATGATGCTCTACATAGAAGACCCCAAAAACTCCACCAAAAGACTACTAGATTTAATGAGCAAATTCAGTAACATAGCTAGATACAAAGTCAACACTTAAAAATCATTAGCCTTCCTGTAAATAAATAAATAAACTCACTGAAAGAGAAACATGGGAAACAACACCTTTCATAATAGCAGCCAAAAAAATGAAATACCTAGGAGTCAATCTAACAAGTGATGTATAAGATCTCTACATTGGGGGGCTGGGGATTTAGCTCAGCGGCACAAGCACCTGCCTTGTAAGCAGGCAGTCGTGAGTTTGATCCCCAGTACTGATAAAAAGGAAAAAGACAAAAAAAAAAATTCTCTACATTGAAAACTAAAGTACTCTGAAAAAGAAGATTGAAGAGGATGTTAGAAAATGAAGAGATACCTCGTGATGTTGGGTAAGAAGAACCAATATGGTGAAAATGATCACACTTCCAAGACTGTTATACAGATTCAATGGAATTCCAATCAAAATCCCAATAGCATATCTCACAGAATTAGAGAAAACAATCCTAAAATTCATCTGGAACCAGAAGAGACCTAGAATAGGAAAGGCAATCTTGGGTAACAGGGACAAGACAAGACAGAGGGAGAAGAGGATGGTAAATTCGAGCCCAGCCTTGGCAACTTAGCAATTTACAATTTTATTCTCAAAATGAAAAATGAAAAAGGGTTGGGGATGTAGATTGGTGGGAAAATTTTGGGTTCACTTTTTAACACCAAACCAAACCAAACCAAACCAAACCAAACCAAACCAAACACTACACTGTGAAATTACTATAATCTACCTTTGATTTGATGCAGTGGTCAAATACTGCTCCCATTCCATCTCACTAAAATTTGATTTCATAGACTTTCTATGGGATCCTACTGAGCACAATATAAACTCAGCATTCAAGCAAGTGGACATTCTTGTGAATGATGCATGCAATCAATTCTAGGTAACGTTTTTTTAACCTTAGATTTTTTTTTAAATTTAACTTTTATTTTTACTAGTGTTTGCACTCTAGAAAATCATTCCATGAGGTTGCTGCAACAATAAGTACTACTAACAAATATTATTGTCCTCCATCTTATCCCTCTCCATAGGTTGCCACCAGTTTCAATTCTTTTATGCACTACCCCCCAAATTTATCTTCCTGTTTCTTAATGACATGCTTACACTGCTATTTTCAGTTTGAGACAGACACACACTCTCTCCTCTTCTCTTTGAGACATCCGCCCTAGAGCGCTGTTCTGTTCCAGTCTGCACTGCGTGCTCTCTAGATCTGCTTATCGAGTCCGTTCAGTTCAGGACCAGGGACGGCATATTTAACCTAATTTTTTTCCGACGTGAATACGTTCCTGCCCAGCGATCAGAGACTGTCAATATCTCAATAATGGCCGCCCATAGTCCCCACATCATCTAATGGGTACGGATTTCTCAATGAGTAGATGATCTTTTCTTTCTTTCTTTTTTTGTCTTTTTCATTTTTATCGGTACCAGGGATCGAACTCCAGACCGCCTGCTTGCAAGGCAGGTGCTTAGCCGCTGAGCTAAATCCCCAGCCCCAGATGATCTTTTCTTTACGTCCTCACCGTGCAGGAATAAATTTCTTTCACTTACTCAAACACAGAAAGTGCATCTTCTGCAGGCCGACGTCTAAACCTCCAAAAAACGGTTGTTTCCACCCAACTGCACTGCACACAGGAGCACTTAAATAGACTTCGACGCCTGCGGGGACAGTCACAACCTGCTGACGTGACGATGGGATGGAGCACCGGTGGTGGACGAGGAGTCCGCTGGGACTGCTGCAAACTGTCTTCCGGTACTACTAGCTTGGCAAAATTACAGAAGGGCGCGCGCTGTCGTTCCCATAGCAACAACCCGGAAGTGCGTCACGCCGCTTGAGACGCTTATCTGCGCGAGAACACAGAGACCTGAGCTGTGGAAATACCTGTGCTGCGGGCACGCGCGCTAACGTCTCCAGCCAGGTCCCAAGTCCGGGGCATCGCTCTGTCCGGGTGGCACGGGGTACAGGCAGGCTCGGTTTTGCGTCTACAACTTGTGTCACACGCCCTTCACGGGCGTCCAGCCTCCGGCGCCCTGGCTGCCCAGGCTGTGGCCTGGCTGCTAGTCGCAGTGGCTGGGTTTAGAGGCGCGCTCAACGCGGACTTCAGCAAGGCCCCCTCCGACTCCGGTAAGGGGCGGGGTTCGGGGCTGAGGGGCGGGGCGCGCGACTAGGTCCTCGGTACCCAGCCCTGGGGCTTCGCGAGCGGGCGCGGGACGTTGCGGGAGCGGGAGAAGGTTTGGACCTTGGCTGCGAGCGAAGCTCCTTACTAGTATTCGTAGCTCTGTGGAAGATCCCGCAGATCCTAGGGTGCAAGAGTACTACAGGGAGGAAGCGTTCAGGCTACTCACGCGTTGAGTAGCCTCCACGCCCCTGAGGCTCGGGAATCCCGAAACAAAGGAGAAACTGGGGTGTGTGTGCATCTGTATGCAACTAGTTTTTTTTTGGATCGGTCTGGGTGCCAGAGTCGATTGCGCGTCTTTGAGTGGCAGTCTGCCGACCTAGCTCTGAGCTGGAAGTACAGCTAGGGAGACAGACTCGTGTGAGAGTAGTTAGAATGAAGTGGTAGTGTTTGTTAGGGGAAAGAAAGCACAAACGTGTTGAAGTTTCTTATCTGTTAACTGAGGACGTTCGACTAGTTTTTGTCAAAGCGCGCAGTTCTGCTTGGGTGTATTTACGTATTGGGTGTCCAGTTTTTTTGTTTGTTTGTTTGTTTTAAGACAGAGTTTTGCTATGCAGTTCAGGCTGGCCATGAACTCACTTTGTAGCCCAGGCTGGCCTAAAACTCACAGCAAACCTTGGGTTAGCCTCCTGAGTGCTGGGGTTACAGTCGTGCGCAAACACGTCCGGCCAAGATTTATTTAAAAGAAGCATTATGATAAGGACAAGAATAATTTTTGAATCAGCTGCACTTGGCGTCTCTAAATATTCTTCCAGCATTGGCGTTTTATGATTACAAAGGTTTCAATTTTCAGAAGCAGTTGAGACCACCACAATCAAAGTAATAAAATTTTAAGAGGGAAAAAAACTTTTAAAAGTGAGCTTAGATACAACAAATTCATTTTCAAAAATGATTTTGCCTTAAAAATCATAAATGCATAGCATTTGATATTTTTGCAGCTAGGTTTTTTTTTTTTTTTGTCTTTTTTGAGGCAGGTTTCCCTATGTAGTTCAGGCTGGCCTTGATCTCACTTTGTAGCCCAGGCTGGTCTCAAACTCGAAACAATCCTCCTGCCTCAGTCTCCCGAGTACTGGGAGCCACCACGCCCGGCTCTTTTTGCAGCTAGCTTTAACACCACCCCAGGATAGATGAGTTGCTACTCTAGAGTACATCCTAGTACAATTTAAGCCCATTAATCTTTGTTTCTTCTAATTTGATTTTATAGTTAGATATTGGCCCTTAAAATTAAAGGGCAGTCAAATTATATATGCCGTTAAATTATATATGAAGAAAAATCTGGATTTGTACAAGAACTACATATAAGATGTTTATCTTGGAAAAGATTTTACACTTGTTTAAAGTAAGACTTCTTACAGGAGCCGGCTGAAAATATCCAAAGCTTTAAAAGTCAGGAAAATCTTACGTTTGATTACTTAATGGTGCATGTGACACAAAACCCATTGCTGAATTTCCATCTGGATTGAAATGGCAGTTCTGCACTTCTGCCTATTTTGCATGAAAATTAAAACATGCCTGAAGGCCCTAAAAAAAGGAGAGAGCATGTAGATAACTTTAACAAGTGTTGCTTTTTGTAATTTCAAATGGGTTCACTTTCATGTAATTTTTCTTAGTGCATTTTTTCAGGAATACATTTATTGGGTTCAGCAATATTCAATAATACATGATGTTCGGGGCCTGGGAATTTAGCTCAGTGGCATAAGTGCTTTCCTAGCAAGTGCGAGGTCCTGAGTTCCATCCCTGACACCAAAAAAAAAAAAAAAAAAAAAAAAGAATAGAACGAAAAAATGGAAATAAAGCTTTAAAAATTAATATATGATTTTCTATATGTTTGTTTTATCTTCTTCGTATACACTTTCAGCTTTTGGCTTTTTTTTTTTTTTCCCTAGCTTTTGAAATGGAGCAAAGTTCCATAGCAGGATGCCTGGTGATGCTAGTGGTGAATAAAAATTGAATAATCAGTGTTATGATACTTACAATGAGTAATAGTTTTGATGTTTGAATTCTGCATGAAGTTATAGAGTAACATTTCTGATTTTTGAATTTATAAAGGAACCTTTTGATCCTTTACCACCGGTTTTGTCGCCCACCCTCTTTCCCTACCCTTTCCTTCCCTTTCTTTCCTTTTTTTTCCTCCATCCCTCCTTCCCTACCTCTCTTCCTTTTCTCATTTCCCCTTCTAACATCTCTTCAAAGCATAAATGTAAACTCTTCCATGTTTTATAGGTAGGGATGTTAGAATACAGAAATTGCCATTATGTACATTAGTGAGCTAGAAGTAAAAAACAGAACTTTCTGACTCTTTAGCCCTTTTATTCCTTTTTGGTGTCCAAGTACTATTAATAACATACCCTTACATAGAAAGTACAGTATATGGGGTAAGCTGTGTTCTAAGCACTTCTGCATGATAATACGTTTTTACGAAAACCACAAAGGGAGATAAACTGTGTTGCCCAGACATAGAGTTATTAAATAATTAACTCCCCAATCAGTATTGTTATTTTTTCTTTTATGATCAGATTTCATTGGTACATCTTAGGTATGTGTGATTACATTCATCAAAGGGAATTTGTACCTTTACAAGACACAACTTTTCTTTTTTTTCCTATTCCCTTACCCTCTCTTTAATGTCTTTACCACTCTCCATTTACAAAAGCTTTGTCTCCATTTTTTCTTTATTTTACTTTTCCCTTTTTTCCTTCCCCCTTGTCCCTCCTTGGTTCCCCTCCCCATTTGAATATTTTCATCTTATTTCACAATACCTGTTATATACTTATTTACACTTTTGGTTTCTCACAGCAGAGAAACTGCAGTATTTACATGTGTGTCTGATTTATTTCATTTGAGTATTAATATTAATCACTGTGCTGTACTGAAAATAGATTTATATCCAGCGCAAACTGCTTAAATTTTTAAAGTTTTTGTTCTGTTTAAAAGTTAGATGTAAAAAGTTTTAAGTTAGATTTTTCTGGTAAGTAAATTTTTCTAATTATTTAGTCTTTAATTGGCTGCTTTTTTTTTTTTTTTTTGAAAAAGCTTTTTTGATTCTTCTAGGCATGAAAGCCACTTGTCCTGAAATTATTTTGAGGCAAGAAGTTTTGAAAGATGGTTTCCACAGGTATGTTGTACATTGATCTCTTTTTTCTTTCTTTCTTTCTTTTTTGGGAGGGAGGCTAATCAGGAATTGAACTCAGGACCTCTAGCTTGCTAGGCCAGTGTTGTGCCACTAAGCTGTATCCCCCCCACCTTGTCCATTGCTATCTACTTAAAAATATTATTGTATAATTTAGATCAAAATATTAACACTTGAATAATGAATAAATTGAAAAGTTATTTGCTTTCTTAAAGGTATTTTTCCTGAATTTGCAGTGACCCTCCTGCCTCATACTACAGGGGTGTGTGTCACTATGCTCAGCAGATTTCAGATCTTTTAAACTAGATTTTTTGCAGAGTGTGGTACCTATAACCCCAGTTCTTGGGAGGCAGAGGCAGGAGGATCACTGCAAGTTGAAGGCCACTCTTGGCTCTATAGTGAATTAAAGGCTAGCCTGAAGTACACAGTGAGACTCTGTCTCAAACAAAAATAAAAACAAAACCAAAACCAAACCAAACCAAAAAACCCCTCAAAACACAAAACTTAGATTTTTCATCACCAACCATATGATTTTTCCTGCACAGTTAATACTATGCTTTATTTTATTTTATTTCTTGTCTTTTGAGACGGGGGTTCACTATGAAGTTCAGGCTGGCCTTGGGCTCACTTTGTAACCCAGGTTGATCTTGAACTGGCAGCAGTCCTGTCTCAGCTTTCCAAGTGCTGGAATTACAGGTGTGTGCCACCAAGCCCAGCTTCTTTTAATACTTTAAATGTGTTGTATGTTCAGTGTCTTCGTATTTTGCTTATCTTTATCTCTTTATACTACCTGTATACTGTACTTTTTTTCTTTGATATTTTAAAATTTCAATGACTGAGTAAAAATGTTTTATTGTGGTTTGTGTATATCCTCTTAGAGTTTACTGAGCAGCTAAGATTTATAAGATAAGAATTTTAATGAAATTTAGAATTTTCAGCTGTCTTGTCCTTATTTAATTATTATTATTATTATTTTTTTGGTTGTTGTATTTCCTTCCTTTTCTCTAGGACTTTTTATCGGTACTGGGGATCGAACTGATGACTGCCTGCTTGCAAAGCTGGTGCTTATGCCGCTGAGCTAAATCTCCAGCCCCTTGTTGCTCTGTTTTCAAGTCACCAATCTTTTATTCTTCAGTGTTCAATTGCTTTTCATCACATTTGGGTAACTTTATTTTAGAAATTTTGTTTTCATTTTGAAATTATATTCTGAGGGCTGGGGATTTATAGCTCAATGGCATAAGCACCTTGCCTTGCAAGCAGGCAGTCATGAGTTTGATCCCCGGTACCGATAAAAAAAAAAAAAAAAGAAAAGAAAAGAAATTACATTCTGTTCTTTTTTTTTGTTTTTGTTTTTGTTTTGTCTTGTTTTTGGTACCAGGGATCAAACTCACCACCTCAAGCTTGTCAGGCAGGCACTTATCCCCCTGAGCTAAATCCCCAGCTTCTACATTCTGTTCTTTTAAAAAATCTCTTCTCTTTTCCTCATAATTTTTTTTTTTTTGTTTCATTTTGTTTTGCAGACAAGGTCTCACTATGTAGTTCAGGATTGCTTTGCATTTACTTGTGTAGCCTCGGCTGGCTTCTAATAGTGATCCTCCTGCCTCAGCCCCTTAGTGCTGGAATTACAGATGTGTAGCACCATAACCAGCCTTCACTCATAATGTTTATCCGTCTCTTTAAATCCTTGAACATGTTATGTGTATTTATAATGGTGTTTTGTTGTTGTGGTTGTGGTTTTTTACTTTTGAGACAAAGTCTTGTTAGGCTGGCCTTGAACTCACTGTGGAGCCCAGCTGGCCTCAAACTCTACAGTGATTCTCCTGCCTCAGCCTCTTGAGTGCTGGGATTATAGGTATGTACCACCATGCCCAATTTATTATGACTGGTTTAGTGTCTGTTGCTTACTTTGTCACCTTGGTCATTTTTGGTCATTTTTGGTCATTCTGTTTGTATTGACACATAGTCCCTCCCACCCTATGCCTTACCAGGAATCAAACTCGACCTTGTGCTTGCCAGGCAAGCAATGTGTTGCTGAACTATATCCCCAGCCCTGTCTCATGTTTCTTTGTTGTTCATTGTATTTTCCTATTTCTTTGTAGGTTTAGTAACAGTTTCAGTGATGAAAATTAAATGTTTTTATTATGAATGTTGTTGAGTGTGGATTTTGTTGTCTTCCTTTGAAGACTTTAGAGCTTTTTTCTGTTAATAGTTAAATTACTTTTTTATCAGCTTGTTCCTCATCCTCCATTTGTATAGTTCTTAAGTTAAAGTGGCCCTTACTCTTAGGTTAACTTATGAACTAGTACTGTACTCTCTTAGTTGTCTCTATAGAATGCTTCAGTATGTGAGTTTATCTAATCTTGTGTGAAATGTTGAATTTTTTTCAAAAAAAAATTTTTTGGGGCACCGGGAATTGAACTGAGGGTCTTATGCTTGCCAGGCAGGCGCTTATGCCACTGAACTATGTCCCCAGCCATTTTTTTTTTTCCAATTTTTAACTTCATTTTTTTCCCCCAGTCTTGTGTTGTGAAATCTTATTATGCACATCTTAGTTTACTACTTAACTTTCCCACTGTTGGACAGTACACAGTAACTTAAAGCAAGGAGGTTTAATTTGGCTTACATTTTAAGAAGATTCAGTCTATGGTCACTTGGAATCAAGAAAGAAACATGGCCAAAGCCTGCTCAGATCATGGTGGTCTGGAAACAGCCGAACAACAGTGCCAAGGAGAAATGGGCCTGGGACCAGACATTGACCCGAAGGCTGTATCTTTGTGACCCACCCAGATACTCCAGGAAGCATGCTTCACAAATCCTGGAAGCAGACCTCAAAGCCGATCAAGTTGATGTCACACCCTAATCATCACACTTAGTTTCTGCAAAAATCCGAGGATTTCTATTTGAATTTTTGGAACTTTTTCACTAAGTTCTCTTCTGCAACTTAATGCTGTGACTTTCAGCCACTGCCCTCTCCAGGCACGTCTGTTTCCTTAAACAAGATGACCACACTGTGCCTTGGACCTCTTTCCCTGTTCTGGCATCTGGAATCTGCCTTTTGTTTTGTTTTGGTTTTTTGGTGCTGGGAATTGAACTTAGGACCTTGCACTTGCCAGGCAGGTGCTTATGCCACTGAGCTATACTCCTGGTCCTTTTTTGTTGTCGTTGTTTGTTTTGAGACAGGATCTTGCTGTAGACTGGTCTTGAGTTCATTATGTAGCCTAGGCCATCCTCGAACTCACAGGGATACTCCTGCCTCAGCCTCTAAAAGTGCTGGTATTACAGGTGTGTGCTGCCATGACCAGCTAGAATCTGACTCCTGACAGAAAGCTAGGTGGTGATATGTTTAGATTTATAATCTATTTCAAATTAATTTTTTTGTGTGTGATAGAGGTCAGTATTTATTGTCTCACGGTCTCTGTGTCTGTGTCTCTCCCTCTTTCTGTGGTACTAAGGATTGAACCTGTGGCCTCACACTTGGTAGGGCAAGCACTCTGCCACTGAGCTACATCCCCACCTTTATTATTTCTGTACAGGTGTCCATCTTTTTCATTATCATTTGTTGAAAAGACTTTCTTTTCCCCATCACATTATGTTGCTAACTCTACTGAAAATATATTGGATTATTATTATTATTATTATTTTTTGCCTTTTTTGTTTTTATCGGTACCAGGGATCGAACTCACGACTGCCTGCTTGCAAGGCAGGTGCTTATGCCGCTGGGCTAAATCCCCAGCCCGGATTATTTTTGGATTCATGACTTGTGAATTATAAACGATGCAATAGTTGACTCTGACACAGTATAAATATTTCACTCGATTTGACAATCTATATTTACAAAATGAATTTAAATTACAGTTTATACTATTATCAATATGATTTTATGCTCTCACCTAACAACTGAGTGAAGAAATTTCCTTTAAATGTATTTATCTTGGGGCTGAGGATTTAGCTCAGCAGCATAAGTGCCTGCCTTGCAAGTAGGCGGTCATGAGTTCGATCCCCAGTACTGATAAAAAGAAAAAAGAAAACAAAAAAGTGTAAAAAAATGTATTTATCTTACAGAGACCTTTTAATAAAGGTGAAGTTTGGTGAAAGCACTGAGGACTTACAAAGCTGCCGACTCTTAATTAAACAGTCCATCCCCACGGGACTTTTTGTGGATCCATACGAGTTGGCTTCAATGCAAGAGAAAAACATGACAGAGGTATAGCTATTAGGGGACTTTTTTGGGAGTGGGAAGAGAAATTGATTTAGGGATGCCATAATTTTCGTTAAAGCCAAATAGTTGGTAAGATGATGTAGTATTTTTTAAAGTTTGTCAGAATACATAGTGACCTTTTTAGAGTTGGAATGGGAGCAGTAGTCTTCAACAAGTGTATGATGCTTATCAGTATTAGGCCAGCTAAACTGAGCTAGTGAAATGCTTTTTAGCAGCACGGTTCACAATTTAGGAACAAAGAGAAGTATAACTTTGTTATATTAGGTAGATATATGCCCTAATATCTGCATAATTTGTGTATGAGTGAAAAGGAAACTAATATTTACTAGATATTTATATGCTGGATGTCTTTTTTTTCTAAAGGAAGCAGGAAAAACTAATCTTTAAAGATTGTGTTTCCAGTTGTATATAGAGGTACATGCCTGTAATCTCAGGACTTGGGAGGTAGAAGTAGGCTATTGGACAGATTTTTTTTTTTTGTCTTTTTGAGATAGGGTCTCCCTCATGCAGTTCAGGCTGCCTTTAACTCACTTTGTAGTCCAGGCTGACATTGAACTCAACAATCCTCCTGCCTCAGTCTCCTGAAAACTGGGATTACAGGTGTGTGCTACCGCGCCCTGCTGATTAGAAAGATTTTAAAAATTTTCTTCAGACTGAGGGTCAAACCCAGTGTCTTGCATGTGCTAGTAGGCAAATGCTTTATCACTGACTTACATCATCAGCCCCTACACAGGTATAGGGAATCAAAGGCCTCTTATGTTTCCTGACAACAGTATATAGCAGGTTGCTGTTTTGTAAGTCCTGTGAAAACACTGTGTATTTGAAACCATAAGTTTTACTTGTTAAAATTTGTAGTGTGAAGATTTTTGCTTCTGAACATTGGAGAGCAAAGAACAGATTTACTCTCCCACTTAAAACAACCAAGAAATAAACAAAATATATGAAACAATCAAAGTAGGCAGTGAATATCAGGCAGAAAAAGGCAGTGAGATCTAAGAGAGGGAAAATAATGCAGGTGAGCCATGACTGTCCCCGTTCACTTCTCTCCTGAGACAGTTTTCAGGTTCTATTGCAGGAAGGAGGGACTCAGGCAGAGCCCAGTGGACTTCCTGCTTGTGGAGATAAGGTTCTGGATAAAAAAGGTCGATACAGTTCATCAGACAGTGGACGGAATGGGAGAGGAGGGAACTGTACCCAGGCAACGCTCCTGAGAGCTCTCGATGGTTCCCTGAAATAGGTAGCCGAGCATTGCTTAGCACCCATATATGAAGAAAGTACTGAGGCTATTGACAGTGCCTGCCACTCAGGCAAGATCGCAAGTGGTTTCTCTTTCCACTGCTGTGAGAAAAGCCTCCTAACTTACTGGATGGTGGTAGACTAAACAGAGAGCTTTTGCTCATTGATGGGAAACACTTTGCCTAATGATGGTGAACCTTTGGAGCCTTCAGTGATAACAAACAACCAGCTGCTGCACCAAGTGCCATAGCCCCAAACTTAGCATTGCTGACTGACTTGGCTTCACACAGCATTGCTTCAGTCCAGCATAGCAAATCTTAAAAGCAAGGCCTTGAAAATATCAAACTGTTGAACAAAATATCTGCCTCTTAAAGCTTAAGATGCAGGGCGAGGTGGATTATACCTGTAATCCCAGCACTCTGGCTGAAGCAGGAGGATCATCACAAGTTTGAGGCCAGCCTGGGCTACATAGTGAGCTCAAAACCAGCCTGAACTGTATAGTGAGACCCTGTCTCAAAAAACCATAAGAAACCAAAACCAAAATAAATAAATAAATAAAAAGCTTAAGAATATTTATAGGAAAAATATGTACAATTTAAAAAATCAAATAATTTTGAATTAAAAAGAAAACTCAGAGGAATATAGAAATACCCAGCATAGGGCTGGAAAGACAGCTCAGTGATAAGAGTGCTTGTATGGGTTCAATCTCTACCACCACAAAAAAGTAAGAGTTGAATTTTTTTTTCATTCTTTTTTTTTTTTTTTTTAATCGGTACTGGGGATCGAACTCACGACCACCTGCTTGCAAGGCAGGTGCTTATGCCGCTGAACTAAATCCCCAGCCCAAAAGAGTTGAATTTTAAAGAAACACAGTAACCAGCATAAAACAAGACCAAGTTCCCACTATCTTGACTATAATAAAAAATAAAGCAGGAGATTGGGATGTGGCTGAGTGGTAGCGCACTTGCATAGCATATGCCAGACACTGAGTTGAATCCCTAGTCCTGAAGGAAAAAATAAGGCAGTTGTGTAAGTTTGTGACCTAAATCGAGGAGGTAAATGGCAATCAAAATCAACCCAGAAATCACTCAGATGTTAGAATCATAAGCAGCTTGTCTTACTTTTCTCTTGTTGCTGAAACAAAATACCTGACACTCAAAATTAAGAAAGGAAAAGTTTAAAAAGAAAGGAAAAATTTATTTAGTTCACAGTTTGTGGAGGTTTCAGTTTGTAATCAGCTGGCTCCAACGCAGGTGGCATAGCACTGGGGCAACAGTTCAAGGCAGCAGAATACAGCAGAAGCTGGAAGAGGGAGCCTCTTTTCTTCCCTTATATTGTAAGTAGGCTACCTGGGGTGTAGCATTCACACCATCTCCATGCCTTCCTCTTGCACAGGATTAGGGTGTTTACAAAGTGAGGCCCCCTGGCCCCCTGTTGAGTCTCAGTTAAGCTATAAACTTCTCAGTCCTCAAGTTGACACTGTATCAACCATCACACAGGTCATGAGACAGTTGTTACAACTATACTTCTTTTGTCCTAAAAGTTAAGTACAGACATGGAAGATTTGTGTGATGATGGCACACACCTGTAATCCCAGAACTTGGGAGGCTGCAGCAGGAGGAGTGCCTTGAGTCTCAAAAAAAAACCCAATAGAAGTCTATAGCATGTGAGATTAAAAATACTGTTGACAGAATTAATAGGGTGTAAAACACTGCAGGGAAAAAAAAGTATTTTGGAGACACTGCAATGGAAACTACCAGAAGTATGAACAGGTAGGTGTAGAGCATAAGGGGACATAGGAGGACTGTGCCACTTTCCTGTGATCTACTGCGTGTGTGAGTGGAGTCAAAGAAGTGAGTGGGTCTCAAAATGGATATGGAAATATTTGGCTGAAAAACAGTCTGAATTTGATGAACCAATGCAAGATGCTCAAGTACAGGAAACTTGAAGAAAACTACACCAAATCACCAAGCAATTAAATCTTAAAAGCGTCAAGAGGAAAAAGCTGATCCAGAGAAATAAAAATAATGATAGGCGATTTTTCAAAAATAATACAGATAAAAAGATATGAGAAGTGCATCCTGGAAGTATTTACAGAGAAGCCTGTGTCCAGGCATGGTGGCCACACCTGTGATCCCACTACTGAGGAAGGTAAGGCAGGAAGGTCTCACGTTCGAGGGCTGGACATCTAGTGAGGCCTATACAGCTAAGTGCTAGAGCCCTTGCTTAGCACATGCAAGGCCTCGGGTTTAATTCCTAGTGGGGGGAAGAAAAGGAAAGAAAAATTAAAAAAGAAAAACAGTTGAATTTTTAATTTTGTACCCACTGGAAATAGTACTGAAAGAAAAGGGGAAACAAAAAAGACTTTGAGATGTGCAAAGCTGAAAGAACTCACCATTAGACCTCCACCATGAGAACTATTACGGCAGGTTTTCAGGTGAAATCTAGATGTGCCCCAAAGAAAAGAGAATAAAGGGGTAACTGGGAAATACGTCATTTCCCTTTACTGTTTAACTCTGCAGATTATGAACAAGAATAACAATGTGGTGTAGCATTCATATTACATAGTTATTTGTAAAAGTACAATGTGTGACAGAAATATCACAAAGATTGGAGGGGAAACTTGGAATTTATAATTGGTCATGGTGTTGTATGCAGGAAGCTGAGGCAGGAGGATCTTGAGTTTGACACTAGTGTGGGCATGTTTCAAAATAAAATTAAGGGGCTGGGGATTTAGTTCTGTGGCATAAACACCTGCCTGGCAAGTTCGAGCAAGTGAGTTCAATCCCTGGTTACAAAAAATAAACTAAAATTAAATGAAAAGGACTGCAGTTGTGACTCAGTGGTAGAATGATTGCCTGGCACATGCTACGCCCTGGGTTCAATCTCTGGACTTAAGGGAGGGAAAAAAAGATGTACACTTTCACATACAAAGTTGTTATATAAAAAGGAAGGGAGTTTAATAGGCCTTGACAGTACACTATGATAAGTTAAATATATAAACCCTAAGGCAGCCATGAAAATAACAAAGTTGTAGATAATTTGCCAGCCAAACAAATACAATGGAATAAAGTACTTCAGCTAATCTGATAGAAGGCAGAAAAAGATGATAAAGAGAGTAGAGAACAGATGTTATAGAGAACAAAAAAAAAGGTGATGGTTTACATTTAAACATATTAATAGTCGTATTGAATGTAGACATCTAAATATCCCTATTAAAAGATGTAGGTCATTAGATTAAAGAAAGCAATTATATGCAGCTTAGAAGAAGTTTTATTATTTATCTACATTCATTCATTCTTTTAATTTCGTTTTGGAGACAAGGTCTCATATGTAACACAGACTGACCTCAAACTCAGGGCAGTTTTCCTGCTTCAGCCTCCCAGGGACTGGGATTATAGGCATGAGCCACTATGTCGGGCTATTTTTTATTTTGTTTTGAGACATGGTTTTGCTATGTACTTCAGGTTGGCCTTGAACTCTGTGTAGCCCCAACTGGTCCTAAATTGAAGGCAGTCCTCCTGTCTGTCTCCTGAGTGCTAGATTTACAGGCATCTGACATCACACCCAATTTAAGAAATGTCTTTATATTTAAAACATAAAACGAGAAAAATATGCCTCCATGGGTAAAAATAAAGGGGAACTGGTTCCATTAATATTAGAAGTGTATTTCAGGCCAAAGACTATCACTAGAGCTAGACGGTTTTTGATGATAGAACCGACTCATCAGAGGGAAATAATAATCTTTTTTTTTTTTTTTTTGGTCTTTTTGAGACAGGGACTTGCTATACAGTTCAGGCCGAACTTGGGCTCACCTTGTAGCATAGGATGGTCTGTAACTCACAAGAATCCTCATGTCTTGGCCTCTCCTGTGCTGGAGTTACAGATGTGTGCCACTTCGCTCAGCTGAAATAACAATCTTAAATACTTATAAACTTAACTAACAGTTTCAAAATGCATGAACTACAAAATGAAACAGTAGCTGGGGATATAGCTCAGCTGCATAGCACCTGCTTGGCAAAAAGAAAAGAAAAAGAAACAGTAAAACCTATGTTTATAATTGTAGATTTCAGTATACTCCATAATTGATAGAACTGGGGCTGGGGATTTAGCTCAGTGGCATAAACGCCTGCCTTACAAGCAGACAGTCGTGAGTTCAATCCCCGGTACCAATAAAAAAGAAAAAGACAAGAAAAAAAAAATGGATAGAACTAGACAGAAAATGGTAAATGCCTAGTATTTAGACAGAACTGTGGACCAGACTGGGTGTGGTGGCGCACGCCTGTAATCCCAGCACTCGGGAGGCTGAGACAGGAGGATCCCTGCAAGTCCAAGACTGGCCTAGGCTACAAAGTGAGCTCAGGGCCAGCCTGAACTGCATAATGAGAAGCTATCTCATAAAAACACACAGACAAACAAAACCTACTAACTGACTTGACCTAATTAACACTTATAAAACACTCCAAAAGGGCTGGGAATGAGCTCAGGTTGAAGGTGCTGGTTTTGATCTCTAGTACTTCCCAAAATCTTTCATTAAATTATTTTCTTTTCTTTTATTTTTATTGTACTGGGGATCAAACTCATGACCTTCTACTTACCAGGTAAGTGCTTGAATTGCTGAGCTAAATCCTTGGCCCAAAATAATAAAACTTAAATTTTTTTGTATTGGGAATCAAACTAATGCTTGCCAGGCAGTTGCTGTGCTACTGAGCTACATTCCTGGCCCTAAAAAAAAAAAAAAAAAAAAAAAAATTGTATGGTGTGTGTATATTACATACTGAGCAAAATCTGGTAAGAAGCTAATGCAAGTTTTGGGTAAAGACAATGGTACTGTCACTGTACTTCATGAATATTTCAGAAGGTAGCTAAAATGAGAAACCAAGAGAACAGGGACTCTCCCTGCAGAGGAAAGGACTCAGTGGTGGTGGCAACATGGTTGCCTTCTGATGTGTGAAAGATCTGAGAAAGAAAAGATTTATTGCAGACACTAAGCAAGAACAACTAGTAAATGTTAGAGGCCACCACATGAAGTTTCTGCCCATGAAAAAGAATGGACCCCTTCTAAGTCACTGGAAGTCCTCAGTCAGTGGATGGATGCTTGCAAAGCTCCTCATTGGAACTGCGGTTTAATTTGTCCACTTCAGAGGTCCCTGATCGTTTAGAGGTCTGTATCATTCCTTGACCCTTGCCCATGAGTTCTGTTACTCCTGTGATTTAACATGTGGAACATCATGTGAAAAGCTATGTAGGATTTTTTTAATCACTGCCACTTAGGAATACTTTAGAAATGAAGCCTGGTTATTTCTTGGAGGATTCGTGCAGTGATGAAGAGCGAATGCTGGTTATTTCTCTGAGGTGTGTAAAGGGTTTGGATAGAGAACCCTAAGAGAAGGGATGTGTGCACATCCATATACAGGTTACTGTATGATTCTTGAATGTGTATGTATGTGTATGTAAATATGTAAATACGTAGTGTGAATACTGTTAGGGCTCATATCTAGATGTTCTCCAAAGATTCATGTGTTCATGAGGGGGAGTTTTATTGTGTATGAGTGTGAACGAGGTGTGTGGTACTGGTATTAAAGTATGGATAATGGAAGCCACACCCTGGGTATAAGTGGCAGCAATCAGTTGGATTGTGGCCTGGAATATAAAGGGACAGAAAGGAGGGAGGCTGCTGCTCACTGCCCACTGCCCACTGCCTGTCACACCATGGACTGTTTTTCCCATGATGCCCCTCTGCCATGCTGCCCTGCCTTGGAGCCAGTTGATTCTGCACTGAAACCTCAAAACTGAACTGAAATAAACCTTTCCTCCTTTCACTCATGGGTATCTCAGCAGGAAAAGTAACCAAGAGAGACACACGTGTATACTAGGTAAATACATGCACATAACTAATTTTTGCCCCTGCATTTTTACTTTCGGTATAGCATTTCTTTTTTTTTCCTCCCTCCCTCCCTCCTTCCCGCCTGCCTGCCCGTCTTTCTTTTTTCTTTCTTTCTTTCTTTCTTTCTTTCTTTCTTTCTTTCTTTCTTTCTTTCTCTCTCTCTCTCTCTCTCTCTCTCTCTCTCTCTCTCTCTCTCTCTCTGTCTGTCTCTCTGTCTCTCTGTCTCTCTCTTTCAATACCTGTTCTTGCTGTATAGTTTAAATTGGCTTGAATGCACTATGTGGCCCAGGTGGGTCTCAAACTCACAGTGATCCTTTTGCCTCAGCCTCCTCAGTGCTGGGATTACAGACGTGTGCCACCGTGCCCAGCTACTTACAATGTTTTTCACCAAGTTATGCTCTAGAGCATTTACCTAGTGTGCTTGAGACCCTTGGCAAAAAAAAAAAAAAAAAAAAAAAAAAAAAATTTATTTGCTCTATTTTCCATTAACCTTTTACACAGAGTTGCTGATCTTTGCTTTGACTTCCTGACCACAGTGCTCTGTCTTAGTCACTGCTATTTGACTTGCTCTACAAAAGAACAGGAAATTACCAGAATGATATCAGTCATTTTAACCTAATACAGGTTTAAGTATTTTGTTTCAGTGGTTTTTTACTTAATTGTGCTATATTCACAAAATGTCTTGGTTCCTGTTTTGTCACCTAAACACAGGTTAATAAGGAAATTTAGAGATGATTATCATGGGAAATTTCACTCCCCAGGGTGTCATTTCCCCAATTTGCTTTTGTTATACACAGATCACATATGGAAATGGTTTGTAAAGGGGGTAAATTTAATGCTTCTGGATATCTGAACAGCAATCTTGTAGCTTTACTTTTGTCTTTTTATTCTTTTTCCTCATTGATTTCTTGATTAATATTTGTTTTCTGTTCAACAGGCAGTGGTGGTTTCAGATAATTTTAACATAGAAGCCCCCAGCTATTTGTCCAAGGAATCAGAAGTTCTCATTTCCGTCCGGCGAGATGCACGGTGCACTGGCTGTTTCCACGCCTTTTTGCCTGTGCACTATCGATACCACCGGCCGCACAGTGAGGATGCAGAAACCTTGATAGTGGTCAGTAGCCCAGATCTGTTGATGTCCTGTGACCAAGGTGAGAGTTGTAAGTCTTTTCTGAGCGTTGAAAATAATAACAGCAAAAGCATTTTTGGGGAGGTTTTATTTAGCTTCGTTTTTAAACAACTTTTTGATTTTAAAATGAAGTGCAGATAGAATAAAACTATACAGATACAGACTTTCATGGATTATAATAAGGTAGATACCCTGATAACTACCACCCAGGTGAGGCTATAGCACTTTGCTGGCCACTCTACCAGCAGCTCCATTTATTTGGTCCCATTATAGCCTCTTCCTTGCCTTTAAGAGAAGCTTACTGTACTGACTGTTCTAATTGTTTTCTTATACAGTATTTCTTTATCCGTATGTGCAAAATTCTTAGATACTGTGATTTAGTGTTGTCCATTTAAACAATCGCTTATTTCCACTTTTCTGAATGTATGTTATACACCCAAAAAAGACCTAGTGTAGTGGCACATACCTATAATCTCAGGTACTCAGGAGGCTGAAGCAGGAGGACTGCAAATTCAAGGGCATCCTACAATGCTATCTCAAAGGGCTCAAAAGTTGGGTGTGGTAGCTCACACCTGTAATCCTAGCACTTGGAAGTCCTAGGCAGAAGGAGCTTTGCAAGTTGGAGACCAGCCTGGGTTACAAAGTGAGCTCAAGGTAAACCTGAACTGCATATTGAGACCCTGTCTCAAAAAAAACCCCACACACAAAATAAATAAACAAAGGCCTCAGAGCTAGGCACAGTGGCACACACGTGTAACCCCAGCCTTTTGGAGGCTGAGACAAGAGGATTGCAAGTTTGAGTCTACCTTGGGCAATTTAGTGGCTTAGCAAGACCAGATCTCAAAATTAAAAAATAAAAGAAAAAAGGCAAGGAAGTAGTTCAGTGGTTGAGTGCTTGCCTAGCATATATGAGGCCCAGGGCTCAATCTGCAGTACTGGAAAATATACAGGTTTTAAATTTTTAATGGAATTTTTTGTTTTTGTTTTTGGTGGTATCGGGGCTTGAACTCATGACCTTGAGCTTGCCAGGAGGTGCTTATGTCACTGAGCTAAATCCCTGACCCCCAAATTTTAATGGAATTTAAGAAGTCATGTTCAACATCTGTAGTATTTTATTTTATATTTTTGGAGCAGGGTCTCACTGTGTAAAGTAGGCTGAGTTCAAACTTGCTTGTATAGCCCAGGCTGGTCTTGAACTCTCAGTGATCCTCCTGCCTCAGCCTCCTGTGTGATAGGATTACAAGTGTGTGTGATCACACCCAGCCTCTTGTCATATTGTAATTTTAATTTCTTTTTTTATATTTCATATAAAAAATAGTAAAATAACAACACATGCTTGATTTTTTTTGGTATTTGGAATCGAGCTCATGACCTTGCATTTGCCATGCAGGCAGGTGCTATGCAGCTTAGTTACATCCCCAGCCCTGTTTGATTATTCTTTTTTTTTTTTTTTTTGGTCTTTTTCCTTTTTATCGGTTCCAGGGATTGAACTCACGACTGCCTGCTTGCAAGGCAGGCGCTTATGCCGCTGAGCTAAATCCCCAATCCTGTTTGATTATTCTTACCCTAGCAACAAGAACTTGTGTTGAGGTTCAGTAATGATAATGTGTTCTTCCACTTGTCTCAGAGTTCCGGGTGTTGGAATGCTGGGCCCAGGCAGAGGTGGCAGCTCCCTGTGCTCTGAAGAGTCAGGACATCTGCCAGTGGAGCAGCCTGCAGTACAGACTGGTGAGCGAGTCTTATCCTGTCTCAGTATTCTCTCATTTCAGTGTCTGTCTCTTCTACATTTACGGAATTAGCATTTTATCCTCTTAATGCTAAATGCTGTTTTTATTATTTTTTTAAATTTGCTTTCTTTGCTACTATTGGCAACACTGACTTCTCATTTGGGTAAAGTCGGAACCATTTAGCTTGGGAGACTGATGATCTATAGCCAGTTCTGTGTCTCTGTGGTTCCAAGCCAAAGTACTGCAGAGCTGGTGTGCTACTCAAAGGTATAAAATGGCAGAGAAAAACAATGGCCAGTTCAGCTGCTTTGTTTTTATTTTATTTTGAGACAGGGTCTTTTTTTGTAGCTCAGGCTGGCCTTGGACTTACTGTGTAGCCCAGGCTGGCCTTGAACTCATGGCACTCCTCCTTCCTCATCCTTCTGAATGTGGGATTACAGGAGTGCACCACAACATCTGACAGGAAAGCTTTATTTTTACTTATAACGTCTAATTTTTAACAAGAAAATTAGTTATCTTTATTATGTTACACAGAGCAAGTAGAGAAGAAGTTTTTAGACAGTTGTATTACTATATCATATCCCTGTTAAGCCTGTTTCTGAGCTGGGTGTGGTGGAGCACTCCTTTAATCGCAGCACTTGGGAGGCTGAGGCAGGCAGATCATTGCAAGTTTGAGACCAGCCTGGGCTACAAAGTGAGCCCAAGGCCAGCCTCAACCATATAATGAGACCCTGTCTCAAAAAGAGACACACACACACACACACACACACACACACACACGACTGTTTGAGGCTTCTTTTGAGGGGAGGTGGTACCAGGGATTGAACTCACAATCTTATGCTTGCCTGACAGGTGCTTACCTTACTGAGCTAAATCCCTGGTCCCATTCCAAGCTATTTTTGTAATTTTTACCTTTGTAACTTGTTTTCAGTTATTAATTTGGGCACTGGTGTTTCACTAGTACTGGCTTTGCCTTACTAATTTATAGTTGGCTGCTTTAGTGAGCAGAGTTACTTTTTCTCTTTGTAATGCTAAGGCTCTCTCCTTTTATGAGCTGTTTTTTAACTGATGCTCGTGTTCTTCTGTGTTTCTCCTCATTCTTATTCTCTTTTAGGCTTGCGTTGTGGCACAGTCTGTGTCGTCACTTTTTTTTTAGTATTTTCTGGGTTTTTGTTTTGTTTTTTATTTTGGTACTTTATCATAAGAAAATAAATTTTATTTTTGGTACCAGGGATAGAGCTCATGATTTTGTGCTTTTTACTTACAGCACTGAGCTAAATTCCTGGCCATAAGAAAATAATTTTGAATCAAATTTTTATTAGTCTTATATAAAAACTAATAGTGAAAGCGATCAAATGATATTATCACAGCCATATTTTATTACATATTATGAAACCAGACAAATTACCTTTTGTGTTTTAAACTTTTCTATACTATTGACCACTAAAAATATTTTAAATAAAACTGTCTGCTACTTAAAGTTGTTTAAAAAAGTACAGTATTGTTAAACATAATAAAATTGAGTCCTTTTTTAAGAAGTTTAAGAAAAAAAGTCTAAGAGAAAAAGAAAAAAAAATCCATGTAACATTTAAATTTACATTTTTAGAAAATGTTCCAAGTATTTAACCCTCAAAAGAAAAGTTCTCTGCTTAATGTTAATGTCCAGCTTAAAGTCCTTTTTAAGTCTCAAAATTTTTTTTTTCTGTTTCAGATATACATTATCTTTAATGATTATGGAGTTTTCAAAGTATAAAGGTCATTCTTTCAGGAACTGTGTTTTTTTTTTTTTTGGTCCTGGGAATCGAACTCATGACCGCGTACTTGCAAGGTGCTTATGCTGCTGAGCTAAATCCGCAGCCCTAAATGTCATTTTTTTATTGCAACAATTACAGGTTTAAATTCTCAACTTATTTTAAGTACACGTTTTATTTGTGCAGTGTGTTTGCAATCACAGTAAACCTGTCTCAGGAGCTCTCTTTTTTTGTATCAGAAAGTTCTCAAGAGTATTGGCTTCCCTCAAGAATCTATCTATCTCATTACCGTGGGCTGCATCTACTGCTGCTCTCTAACGTAAGATCTTTGCGTGTGTAAATAACATTATAGTAATTTCCTTGCTCATATCATTCAACTCTTTCTCCAGGGCCTCATCCTTACAAAATAGTCCAGCATAGTCAGAGAATGGTAAATCCTATTTTTCAAGAGAGGATAGCAGTGGACTGTCTGGCATTTGAAGCTCCACTTCTCTTGGCCACTTGCAATTCCTAGAATTGTGTTTTACAAGGTGATTTGCCCTCATATCCCTCAAACCCCACACAAAATCACCCTGCTCAGTGGCCTGTTGACCTTTGTTCTGTGTCATCACTTTTATGTTTCACTTTTACAAGGAGTCAAATGAGTGCAACAAAAATAAAATAAATTTAAAATGTAAGCCAGCAGACACATTAACTGTTAATCAGATACAAGGCAGGCTTACTCATATGTACTATTCTGGGTATTGAAGTTTGAAGTAATTTCCTTGTCCGTTAGTTTATCTACCTGATTAGCTAAGAGAACTCCTGATACTGAAGGCTTACTACTAAGCACTGCTATTGTATTAATTGGAGAACTTTTATTTTTTGCTTTTTCTGAGGATGGGGTACCAGGAATCGAACTTGGGAGCTTGAGCTTGCCAGGCAGGTGCTGTGCTGCTGAGCTATATCCCCAGTCCCTGGAGAACTTCCTTTGAGTGGATGTGACTGCTGTCTTAGTGTAAAATTGCTTTTGAGGAAATTGCCAATTCCATCTGGGACTTAAATTTTTTTTTTAACTGGAGATATGTATTTCTTTTTCTTTTTCTGTTTTTTTTTTTTTTTTTTTTTGTGCTGGGGATGGAACTCAGGACCTTGCGTTTGCCAAGCAGGCACTCAGTATTTATTTGCTATTTATTGATTTTAAAAAATATTGAGACCATCCCAAAACAAAAATAGTAGTTTGTATTGCTACAAAGTAGATACAGTATTAACGCATTTTGAATCTAGTTCCCTTTAAGACCATGAAATTTAAGCTAAGCAGTCATAATTAATCACTTTAAATTTTTATCTTTGTAATATATCTTTGTGTATTCTAGAAAAATAGGTATTGGGCATTAATTAGGTGGTGTTCTGTACTGTTTTGCTTACAATGTCTTTCTTTCTTTCTTTCTCTTTCTCTCTCTTTTTTTTTTTTTTTTTTGTACTGGGAATTGAACTCAGGGCCTCATACTTGCCAAGAAGGTGCTGTGCCACTAAGTTATACATGCCCAGCCCCAAGATGTCCTTTTTTGAAAGGTGATTTTCAGATACTATTTTTTTTTTTTCTTTGAGATGTAGTCTCACTGTGTAGTTCAGGCCTTGATCTTCTGTAGCCCAGGCTAGCCTAGAATTTGCAGCAATCCTACTGCTTCAGCCTTCCAAGTGCAGGGATCACAAGCGTGTGCCACCATGCCCTGCTTCAGATACTATTTTTTTTTTTTTCTTTTTCTTTTTTATCGGTACCGGGATTGAACTCACGACTGTCTGCTTGCAAGGCAGGTGCTTATGCTGCTGAGCTAAATCCCCAGCTCCCAGATACTATTTTTTACAGATTGGTTTGGTAACTTTGTGTGTGGAGGGGGTGGGAGGATGTGTGTGTGTGAATTAATCCAGTTATAAACAGTAACCAAAAATGAAAGAATTCCTGAATTACCTAAATTTTAATGTTTGTAAAAATTTATTTTTTGGGGATGGGGATTTAGCTCAGTGGCATAAGTGACTGCCTGGCAAGCGCGAGGTCGTGAGTTCAATCCCTGGTACCGCAAAAAAAAAAAAAAAAATTACTTTTTGGGCTGGGGATTTAGCTCAGTGGCTTAAGCACTTCCTTGGTAAGCACAAGGTTGTGAGTTTGATCCCTGGTACCAAAAACAAACAAACAAGCCACAGAAAACCCCTAACTTTTAAACCATAAACTTTCCTAAGATTTCTAAGTGAATTCCTTTATGTTAAAAACCAAACAGAGCTGGGAATTTAGCTTAGTGGCATAAGCACCTGCCTGGCAAGTGTGAGGTCATGAGTTTGATATCTGGTACCTGAAAATTAAAAAAAAATAAAGGCTTGCCAGGCATGGTGGTACACTCCTGTAAACTTAGCATTCAGGAGGCTGAGGTAGAAGGATTGTTGGGAGTTCAAGACCAGCCTGAGCTACAAGGTGACCGCAAGGCCAGCCTGAACTGCCTATCAAGACCCTGTCTCAAAAAGAAAACAAACAAACAAAACAAAGATTTAAAAGCAAAAAGCTTGAGCTCAAATTAAAAATCAAAGAAACAGTGGTCTCAGCTGAGGAAGATGTGGTATATTTTAAATGTTTTTAATTTCCTGTCCCTCTCTTTCCACAGATACATAAGAATGTGATCCTACGAGTTCCAGTGGGATTGACTGTACATACCTCTTTAGTATGTTCTGTGACTTTGCTTGTTACAATCCTGTGTTCTACTTTGATTCTTGTAGCTGTTTGCAAATATGGGAATGTTTCCCTATAATTTTTATGCAGCAAACTTTTTAATAAAACGAAGACATATTTGTTTGTAAATAGAAGTGTTCTTCCAGAATTTACTTTTGCCTTTGTTTTCATGTATAACTAAAATTATGTGTATCAGAAGAATTTTGGATCATGCTCAACTAATTCAAAAATTTAGTGTTGCATGCTGAGTTTGATAGTGCTGCTTATAATTCCAGCACTTAGGGAGGCCACTTAGGGAGGCCGAGGTAGAAGGATCACTATGGGTTCAAGGCCAGTCTAAACTCCAAGACTTTGTCTACCAACAACAACAATAACAAATTAGTGTTCTATGATTTACCCCTTAGCTAATTTTCAAGCAATAGGTGCCAATAGAGGATGCTTAGTGCTGTTAAACTCACATTTACTTTGTGAGAATGACTTCATTTGGGATAGAAAAATGAGTTCATTAGATTTTAGTGACAAATTATTCATATTTTTTCAATAGAAATCTTTCAGTTGAGGGTAAAAATTGAGAAAAGCATAAGAATAAAATTTTTTGAATGAAGATTAGGCTTGTTTAAATCTTATTTTCTTGAAATTATTAAAGCCGTTTATTTGGAGTTTATTAAAACATTAAAGTATTCCTTTTCTTTTCTTTCCTCATATAACTGTGTATAACAGAAAGAATTTTTAAGTTTTTCACACTTGGGTATAGACTTTGAAAGGGCAGATTTATAATGGGAGGCACTATATGTGGACACCCTCAGACTCTCAAGTCATTAAGAGGAGAATAACATCTTTGTATTACTTTATCTTCCGAAGTCCTTTTGGATTCTTCCTCTAGTTTGGAAGAATACTTCCCTCTTCTACCTCTGAGTAAGAGGTCTCAGTCTTACCGTCCTGATCATATTTAGAATGGGATGATGTTCTCAGGTCTCTGTAAGAGGAGGAGTGAGATGAGGTGTGCCTTGAATATGTCTTGTATTCATCTTCAGAGTCAGAACTCTCTTGTTTCCTGTTATCTGTATATGGCCAAGAATAGTGTGTCCTCACTTAGTAAGGGGAACTCCTGTGGTAGCACCAATTCGTTATAATAATGAGATCATTGTGAGAAGGAATAGGATAAACTAGCTTTAGATCCTCTGAAAATCTGGACCGAGCTGGGCATGGTTGCACATGCCTGTAATCCTGGCACTCAGGAGCTGAGGTAAGAGGACAGCTGAGTTTGAGGCCTGCTTGTACTACATAGTGAGACCTTGTCTCAAAAGAAAAAAAAAATCTCCACCATCAGTTTCTGATTTACATTGGGAAGATACATGCCAAGTATCTCTTTCACAGTTTAGCTAAAATATTTACCATCTCAGCTGGGCTTGGTAGCTCATGCCTGTAATTCTAGCACTCAGGACGCTGAAGCAGGAGGATTGTTGAGAGTTCGAGACCAGCCTGGGCTACAATGTGAGCTCAAGGCCAGCCTGAAGTGCATAGAGAGACCTTGTCTCAAAAAGACAAAAAAAAAAAAAAACAAAAAACAAAAAACTTTTTGTTTTAGATCTTGAAGATTCCCCAAATCTTCATTTTTGAAAGGTGGTAAGCTCTTTTTTTTTGGGTACTTGGGATCGAACTCATGACCTCATGTTTTCCAAGCAGGCACTTAAACTGCTGAGTTAAACCTCCAGCCCAAAAAGCTCATCTCTTTCCATTACAGTGCTTGCTGAAAATTTTATTTTATTATTTTTTTTAAATTTCATTTTAAGGAGGATAAAACCAAGGAAAATAAAACAGAATAAGGCCAATCAAAATGAACCAGTGTGAGGCTGGGGATTTGGCTCAGCGGCATAAAGCACCTGCCTTGCAAGCAGGCAGTCCTGCATTCGATCCCTGGTACTGATAAAAAGGAAAAAGACAAAAAAAAAAAAAAAAAAAAAAAAAAAAAAAAAAGAACCAGTGTAACTGACACAGGACTTACAGTAATGCGTCTTGATGTCTTCAAAATAGCTGCAGATTCCTTCAGACATAGTAAATATCAAACAGAATAGAATAGAAACAATAGAAACAAAACAATGAATGCAATAAAGGACTTCAAAACAAGACAATAGAAAACCCAAAATTACTACCATAATATATCTTGCTATCTTTGAAACAGCTGCTCATGCTATTGGATATAACAAAATTAAACAAAAGAGAATAGAAGCCAACCCAACAAAACAAGGAAAATGATACAAGACTTCAAAATAATGCAATAGGGAAGCAACAATGGCCACCATCTTCAGAAGATCCCCCATAGATGCCACACTGTATCACTAGATGATCAGACCACTGGCCCTAGACCTGCAAGGTCAGTGAAACGTCAAAACACAAGCATCAATTTGCATTTCACCTCAATAGCTATGATCGCATGCTATGTTTCTTCAGGTCAGCCAGTCGCTTATGAGGGTGAGGGTGGGGTAGGGATTGGTTCTTGTCTGCCAGCCTGTGCAATGGAAGGAACTGAGGTTTGTCTGTCTTTCTGGGGAGGTAGAGGTGGTGGGGGTGGCAGTGAGTCTGCAGTTACTGATTCTGCCAAGTGCAGTGAAAAACCTGCTCTGCAAAGTTTTTTTGGTAAGGCTGAGACTGAATGACACCTTCCGCCATCCTTTTCCCCCAAATTCACTTTTGTCTTGGTGCCTTTGTGCAAAAATCGACTGGAAGCAACACATTTGAACACTGGTCCTTTGATGAAACCTGTTTTCTGCACACTTTCAATCTTTGCTTCGTTTTCTTCTTACTTTTCCCAAATGAGCTCAAGGAGAGGCAATTGTCATCACATTTTATGCCAAGTGCTTTTCATTATCATTCATTCTTCACATCCAAAAGCCCAAGTTGCTACTCTTAGGATAACTATTTCAGAGATGAGAAAGCATCAGAGAGATGAAGTCACTTGTCTAAGGTTCAATTAGTGCTCAAATCTTGTACTTGGCTCTCAGATACAAGTACTTTAACCAAGTACTCTGCTTGCTTTCTTTCTCCAGCATCACCAACACTACATGATGTACACTTCCTCATAGGGCTTGCTGTCATTGTCACTTCTAATTTTGTGGGCTGAGCTTCATATTCTTCATTTGGGGTTGGGTTGCTCAGGGTCATAGAAATCCCCCATCTTCAGAGGTGGCTGTGGCAGCTGCTTCATCAGGACTCTCCTTTTGCTGTTTATATTTCTTTTTTTTTTTTTTGTCTTTTTCCTTTTTATCAGTACCGGGGATCGAACTCACGACTGCCTGCTTGCAAGGCAGGCGCTTATGCGGCTGAGCTAAACCTCCTGCCCCATTATATTTCTTCCAAATTATGAATCAGTAAAGGGTTTGATAAAACAATACTAAGATTTAGCAGAGGTTTAGTACTGAATTTGCCAGGAAGACAACTCAGATTGTAATTTTAAAGTGTGTATTTTATTAAATTGAATATTTAATAAAAAATAAAATCTTTAGGTGATTTGTTATTAAATGTTTGGTTTACTATTTTACATGGGTAGCAAATAAAGTGCTGTAGACCTAATTAAAGTGAGATGGCACACATCCACAGTTCTAGCACTGTGGGTGTCTCAGGCTGGAGAGTTACTGGGACTCAGTAAGACCCTGTCTCAATCAGCCAAACTTTAGGGGAGGCATGTTCCAAAACAGAACCTTGGTTATATTGTCGTATTTGTTTTATTTAGGGTAATGTAATGTGATACGTATTTATAAATGGTGTGACTGGTTGTTTTCTAAAGTACTTTGGTGTTTTTATGGAAATAACAATTTGAAATGTACAGCTTGACTAGTGATAACAGGGCTTTTTGCTGGTGGCGGTGGGTGGGTGGGTGTTGCTTGTGATTTAAGTACTAGAAAAGGCAACCCAGTGCCACAAACCTCATACATATTAGAGATCTTTAAAATAACTCCAATTTTAACTGGTTTTATGTTTTCTTATAAGAACTCCAGGGCCAGTGGTTTAGCTCAGCAGCACAAGTGCTTGCCTGGCAAGAGCAAGGTCATGAGTTTGATCCCTGGTTCCAAAAACAAAAACAAAAAACCCTCCAATTTTCACAACATTTCTTGCTTAGGATTCAGTATGTGGCACTGAGCAAAATTATGTATATGTCAGTTAAAATTCAGTACTATTGATGATGACGTTTTGGAACATGGTTAGATAACATAATACTGGGTTTTTTTTTTTTTTTTTTTTTTGGTACTGGGGATCGAACTCACAACTTTGTGCTTGCCAGGCAGGTACTTATGCCACTGAGCTAAATGGTACCACGAATCAAATTTATGACCTTGTGCTTGCCAGGCAGGTGCTGTGCTGCTGATCTGTATCCCTAGCCCCTGTTTAATTTTTTTTTTTTATTGGTACTGGCGATCGAATTCATGACCGCCTGCTTGCAAGGCAGGTGCTTATGCTGCTGAGCTAAATCTCCAGCCCTCTGTTTAATTTCTTAAGAATGTGTGAAGCTGGTATGGTGGCCCACATCTATAATCCCAGCACTGAGGAAGCCTGAAGCAGGAAGATTGCAAGTTTCAGAACTGCCTGGGAAGTTTAGTAAGATCCTGTCTCAAATAAAACAGGGCTGGAGTGCAACTCAGTCAGAGAGCACTGTGTGTGTTCTACCCCCATTACCAGGAAAAAAAAAATGTATGTAGTTATGTGTTTATATAGTTTTTGTAGTTTTATTTTGAGACAAAATCTTACTATGTAGGGCTGGGATTTAGCTCAGCGGCATAAGCGCCTGCCTTGCAAGTGCATGGTCTCGAGTTCGATCCCCAGTACCAATAAAAAAAAAAAGTAACCAAAATCTTACTATGTAGTACAGGCTGCCCTTGAACTTACTGTGTATCCCAGGCTGCCCTCCAACTCATGGTAATCCTGCCTCGGCCTTCTGAATGCTGGGATTACAGACCTGCATCACCATGCCTGGTTTACATGGTACTTTTGTGTGTGTGTGTGTGTGTGTGTGTGTGAGATAGGGTCTCGTTGTACGTTTCAGGCCTTGAGCTCACTTTGTCGCCTAGGCTGATCTCTTAACTCCTAACAATCCTCCTGCCTCAACCTCCCAAGTGCTGAGATTATAGATGTATGCTACTATGCCTAGCAAGGTACTGTGTTTTTTATGTTGTTCATCAGAACAAAGTATCATCAATATTTCAACATATTTTTAAGTTACTATTTAACATTGTGGTTTAGAATGTGGTTTAGTCATTTACTCATTTATACAGGGATTCAAAATTGTAACAAAAATTAAATGGGAATGAAGGAACATTTCTTTTAGATAGGGAGTCCCACTAGTTCAGGCTGGCCTTGAATTCACTATGTGGCTCAGGGTAGCCTCAAATTTGGGACACTTCCTGCCTCAACCTCTTGGATGCTGGGATTACAGATTAATCCATATGGACATCATTATTCTTTTCATATTGGTTGTAGTTTTTTATGGGAGGGTTGTTGCTGGATAGCTCAGGCTGGCCTTGAACACACTACTGTCTGCTTTTTTTTGACCCACAGATAGTGGCTTGTTTCCTTAGGAGTATTGTAAGTCAATGGCTGCTTACATTTAGCTTTGGGAACCTTGCATCTGTGGGATCCTTTGCGATCCAAGTTGCAGTGAGGATTCATTTCTCCCAGGTCCTGGAGCACAAAGGGTCACTTTCCTGATCTGACAGTACTATAAACTGAAACTTTCAAACCCTTGTGTGAGAACTTCTTTCTCTGCCATGTCCAGACTGAGATAAGTGTTCTGAAGATTTGTGGTGGGCACCAGTGTCAGTGAGTCTTAGAGGTTTCAGTGTAACGGACAGCCTGGGCAGCACACATGCCATAGGCTCACCACCACTGGTACAGACCTTTGAGTTTTAAGCCCTACACAAGATCACAAACCTAACTTCTCCTTTTCTGTGTGTGCTAATGGAACATTTGCCAAGTTAACAGTGTGTCGTGCTGGTTGATTGCTTGCTGTCCTCTGCCCTATATGTCAACTGACTTTTTTTGCTCTACATTTAGAGATAAGCAGTCTGTCTACCTCTGCATTTCCACTACCGCATCCCTAGTGGCCCTTAGGATTACTGCCTCCCTTGTTCATTTCCCTTCTTGCATCTCTACTTTCTGTTTTTCACATAGCAGCCCAATAATCTTAAAATGTAAACTAGATGACATCACCTTTCTGCTTAAAACCCTTTAATGACTTTTTAGAATTGGGTGCAGAGTTCTTCCCTGTGTCTATACCAGTGTTTTCTTATAATAAACCTTCACACACAGAACTCCAGCTATACCTTCTTAACTGATACTGGCAACTCCTCTTCCCTCCTCTGGCTGGTAATGTTTTCCCCTGCATGCGGCTTCCATGCCTTTCTCATTCTCTTTTGGGCTTAAATGCCACCTTCTTACAGAGGCTGTCTCTAGTCAAACTCCCCTCTTTTTTTCCCCTCACACTATCTAGGAGTTTTTTATTGTTTGAGACAGGATCTTGCTATGTAATTTAAGACTGGCCTTGAACTCACTATGTAGCCCAGGCTGGAACTTGCAGCAATCCTCCTATCACAGCCTCCTGAGTGCTGGGATTACAGGTGTGCACTACCACGCTGGGTTTATAGCAGGGTTTTTTTTTTTTTTTTTTTTTTTTTGGTACTGGGGATGAACTCAGGACCACACACTTGCAAGGCAGGCGCTTATGCCGCTGAGCTAAATCCCTAGCCCCTATAGCACGGTTTTTTTTGTTTTTGTTTTTGTCTTTTTTGAGACAAGGTCTCTGTATACAGTTCGGGCAGGTTTTGAACCCACTTTGTAGCCCAGGCCGGTCTCGAACCTTCAATGATCTCTTGCCTCAGCCTCCTGAGTGCTGGGATTACAGGCGTGCACCACCGCATCCCATTTAAGGCAGTCTTTTAATTACTGTTTTCATTTATAACCTCCGCAAAGGCAAAGTGAGTCATGTCCACGCTTTATGCCTGATGGTGGGCAGTGTCCTGCATATACTAGACTTTCAAATAGTTGTAAAATAAGTGTGTACCTTAATGGATTCCTCTATGAATTAAACACAAAGGGCCTATTTAGCAAAATACAGTAAATATGAAAATTAAGGAGCAAAATGGAGAAGACACGAATTTCCAGCCAGAAACGTCCTAGAGACTGGTGTATCCCGTCAGCATCCCCAGTGGGCAAGACCTGAGTGGAGACGATGCCCAACGGTGAGCTCAATGATGAACTCGTGGATGCTAAATCCCCGATACTAAATCCAGCCCCCCAACCGCGCCCCCAAGAAAGCAGCCAGAGGAAAAGCGGAGTCCGCACACTACAACTCCCAGCAGCGCGCGCGAGCTCGGCCCCGCCCCTGGGGAGCCTGGCCCCGCCCCGCTCCGCTCCCCGCCGCCGCCGCCCGCCCGCCCGCCTCCCCCAGGCTTGTGGCCACGCGCCGCGGCGGCGGTTGTTCCGCTTCCCTCCTTCCCGGGCGGTCGCCATTGCCGAAGGCTCCTGCCCTCCCCTCGCCCGCGCCGCGGGCTCGCCTGCCGCCCCCCTAGCGGAAGAGCGGTGCGCGGCGCGGCTCCTCGCCCGCCCGGCCCGGCCCTGCCCTGCCCGCCGCACCCCGCGAGCTCGCACGGAGGCGCCTCTCCGGGCGCGAGCGCGCCTGCTGGTAAGTGCGGGCGGGCCGGCGCCCTCCGCCGCCGCCGCCTCCTTCCTCCTTCCTCGTCCGCGGCCTGGCGGGGAGCGGCCCGGGACGCGGCGCCCCGCCACCTGCGCCGAGCGGCGCTCATTGTCTGCTCCCGGCCGGCCGGAGCGGACCAGCCCTGGTCCGGGCCCCTCCGCGGCCGCCGCGCGGTCTTCTCTGGCGCAGCCGCCCGGAGCGCGGCCCCGGCTCCTCCGGCTCCAGCCCGCTCCGCTCCGCGTCCCGCCCCGTCCCGTGCCGCCCGTCCCGCGCGGCGCTGGGGCTCGGGCGCCGGAGGCAGCGGTGCCATCCTCCCCTAGCGCTGCTCTGTCGCCAGCTTGAGGTGACTTTAGCGGTTTAGGTGACTAAGGTGAAGTCCAGACGGATTTCTCACCATGTTTGGCTTTCTTCGAGTCGCACGCGCGCGCACACTCGAAACGTCGGCGCAGATTCCCCGGTGGACTCAACCTTTGGGCCAATTCTTTACAGATAAAGTCATCCCAGAAGGGTGTCAGGTCACTGCCATTGTCAGATTCTGAGGCTGTCCGCGCCCTCGTAGCTGCTTTTTAATGGGAATACTCGCTGTGAGCGGGATTTGTTTTCCGCCTTTGATAAGTAACCAGCTCCCTCTACTATCTCGGTTCTCCTTTAGGAGCGGGCTGTAGTTCTGTTTTCTTTTTACACCTCCGCGAAAAAGACAATCAAAAGGGTTAGGCCTAAAATTAGACTGCTACGAGCTGTGTTTTGGATCAAGGTTGTGCGCGTCACGTTTTCCCCCTGCTATGTGGGACTCTTCCGCTCTTATAAGCAGGCAGGATATTGAAATGTACTAGAATTTGCTCTGGGGGTTTTGCTTTTGTGGAGTTGTCCAAAAGAGTAGCGTCAAATGAAGTTAGATTGGGAGGAAGACCGTCAATAGTAATTTTAAAAGCAGGTTTAAACTTGTCAAGCTCTGTGGCATTTGTAAAACATTCACACTCACCTCTACTTTTCTATCTGCTTCTCTCTCTGTATTATAGATGTACCAGTGAAAGCCTAGTTCATATTCTATTAGGGGTATTGATTTGAGGGGCTTTTTAATCTTTCATCTTCGGCTTTTAAGTCTTTCTAGTTACTAATTAACCAAGAACACTGATTTACATTTGCATTACAGAAAGTGAAGCTCATATTGCTGACCTATAATATGTGTAGGTCTTAAACTAACTTTCAGATTTTGGTGAAGGAGGTTGACCTAAATTTGGTGTATTTTTTGTCTTTTCACTAAATAGTCCATTGTTACCTTTTCTTCTAGCAGGCTTTGCAGTACTTAGTACTCAGCTTAGTAGTACTCAGCTTCAATGCTGTCGTCATTTGCTGTTAATAATTGTCCCTAACTTAAAATAGGATGTTTTGATCAGCTGAGGAATCAAGGTGTAGAAATGTTGGAGTGCAAAACTTGGTCTGTTGATGTCACTGACTCTGCTACTTTTTTTTTTTTTTTTTTGAGATTGGTCCTTACTGGGTTTTCCAGGCTGGCCTCAAACTTTTCTAGGCTCAAGTGATCCTCCTGTCTCAGCCTCCAGTGGGCTGGGATTACAGCTGTAGACTACTAAGGCTGACAGGCAGGTATTTTTGAAGGAAGAGTTTATGGATGTTTCACTTCCCTTGGGACCTTCATTCCAGGTTTGCCATCATTTAGACACTTAATCTGAACTTGTGACACTTAGTACAAATGCTTCAAACCCACATTCATCAATGAAGAAGGGTAAGTTTGCAGTGGGTCTTTTTCTGCTAAAATGAATAGGGGTTCCTGTGGCACTGAGATCTTTATGATAGGCTGGTTTCCAGGTAGATGTGGATAACAGTAGTTTGTATTTCTTTTCAATTATATTTTTAAGAGAGGGAATTTAGAATTTGTTCTGGTAGCTAAGGATAAATTTTCAATTACTTTTTTTTTTTTTTTTAAGAAGAGAATTTGTTGAACTAGCTAAAAATAAAACAACTAGATACAGTTAAACCATTCCTATCTTTAATCTACCAGCACCGGTTATTACAATAATGTTCGCACATGTTTCTTTGGGCTCTCAGGATTTTCTATTTTTTACTAAAACTGGGCCGTGTCAAGACTTTAAGTCTTTTGGATTTTGATCAATTTTTTCTCAGAAGCCCCTCAAGTTAGAGAGTTAACTAATTTCAGGCTAATCAGAGAGGATAAGTTACTTACAATTCGTGCTTCTGAGTTCTTCTGTTTCCTTTTGTTGTTTTCAAAGAAGCAAAAAGAGTGGGAAAATAATATCCTCAAATCTTGATTGTTTTGTGATCAGAGTTGTTTCACTTATTTTTTAGGCCACTGGTTAGGGGTAATCAAGCTGAACTTTAATTCAGGTGTAGCCTATTACCTGTATGCTTGTTCTTTTTTATTTCAAGCAAATACGCATTATTCTAGTTCAGTCTTTCACATGTGTATTATTTCATATTCCATGTATCAATTACTCAAAAGCTAAAGATTTGGGCTTGAATCCAGACCTTTTCACTTGACCATGGGCCAAACACATTCTTTTCAAGACTCAGTTTTCTGATCTAGAAGATAGGAATAATAATAACTACTACCAATTTAATAGGGCTATTTAGATGCAGATAAAGGACTTATATGCTTAACAAACTTTAGCTGATAGTCCGATCTTAAGTGCCATAGAATGTGCTACAACAAATATACTCTTACATTTAGAGGTAAACTTGCTTTTAAAAGAAGGTTGGAATCACAGAATCAAATTTCTGAGGCTGTAACTAGAATTAAAACTTATTTTTCAGAATAAAATACACAGTCATTCTGCTTTTGAAGTGAGATTTTTTTTTAATAAAATAGTAGTTTAATTGCACCTATTCGTAGCCCAAAAGTATGCATATTTCTCATAGAAAACTTAGAAAGTAATGAAAACTCCTGAAATAGCACAAAAATCACCTTAGGTTTTTTTTTTTGAAACAAGGTTTTACTATGTATAGGAGCTGGCCTTGAACTCATTTTGTAGCCCAGGCTGGCCTTGAATTTGCAGTGATCCTCCTGCCTCAGCCTCCTGAGTGCTGGGATTATAGGCATGAGCCAAAAATCACTTTAGTTTTAATTATCAGAGATAACTATATTATAGATTTAAAAGTGTTTTTTCACTTTATTTTTGAAAGTAAATTTCTCATTGTAAAAAATTCAGGCAAGTTGATTATTTATTTATTGGTACTCAAAATCAAACTCAGGACCTTGTGCTTGCCAGGAAGGCACTGTGCACTGAGCTATATCCCTGGCCCGCAGGTTGATTACTCTTTAAAGTGTGAAAATTACTCTTTACTCACTTTAGCCTCCTTCTTTGAGGTATTTACCCCTTAACAGTTTTATTTAAGGAATTAAGAGTGGGGCATGGTGGTGCACATCTGTAATCCCAGTTGAGGCCGAAGGATTGCTGTGAATTTGAGGCCGGTCTGAAATACATAGCAAGACTCTGTCTCAAAAAAAAAAAAAAAAAAAAAAGTTAGAAATAAGCATCAGTGTTGTATGAGTCAGGGTCTCACTATGAAATTCAGGCTGGCCATGAACTTGAGTTTACTATGTAGTACATGCCAGCCTCACACTTGCTGTGATCCTCCTGTCTCAGCCTCCCAAATGCTGGGGTTATAGGCATATGCCAACATGCCTGGCCACATTTAAAGCTCTTTTAGTTTACCTCTGAGTACAGTTTTTTGGCTGCACTGTGCATTTACATGAATGAGCTGTTCAGTGTTTCTAAATAGTTGGTAGTTTTAGTTTTATTCTCTGACTAATGGTACTGGGAACAGTTTAATTCACACCTACATTTTTTGTTTTTGTTCATGACTGTATCTTAAAATTTGTCTAAGGTTTCTTTGTGAATGAAAGCATTATCTATTTTGATAAATGTTCTGTGAAAACATCTTTGTTTATAATGTACATCTTTGTTTATATACCTGGTATTGTTACATTTTTATTTCTTCTATCTGAATACTGTTTTGCCTTTCATATTGTCAGGAAGCTTTCATATGTCATGTATTTTCAAAAGGCCCAAACTAGATATGATGCTGACACATACCTGTAATCCCTGCACCCTGGAGACTGAGACAGAAAGATTGTTGCAAGTTCGAGACCAGCCTGAGCTACAAAGTGAGCTCAAGACCAGACTGAACTGCAGTGAGATCCTGTTTCAAAAAGACAAAATAAGAAAGGAAGGAAAGAAGGAAGGGAGAAAAGAAGAAAGAAAGAAGGAAAGAAAAGGCTTTCTCTGATGGCTCATCTAAACTAGCCTCTGCAGACCCTTACTCAGTCCCTAACTTCTTGCTGTTTAGTTTCTTTCATAACATTGTCATCTGAAGTTACTTGTGGGGACTGAACCCAGGGCCTCACATGTACTAGACCTGTGTTCTAAAACTCAGCTATTATCTCCAGCCCTTTGAATTTTGAGACATAGTCTCTGTCATTTGCCCAGGTGTAACTCAAAACTGCAATACTCCTGCCTCAGCCTTCCAAATAGCTTGGATTTTTAGGCATGCACCACCACAGCCAGTCAATACCTACTTTTATTGTTTTTTTAAAAATACATACTTTTATATTCAGTGATCGTTTCTGCAAGTATGCCTGGTTATCTCCTGGTATTGATATCAGTTGCTTGATTTTTTTTTTTTGTACCAGGAATCAAACTCATGATAATATGCTTGCTAGGCAGACACTTATGCCACTGAGCCAAATTCCCTGTCAGTTGCTTGATTTTTAAGGCAGCATCTTACTGTATTGTCTAGGCTGGTCTAAAACTCAAGAGCGCAAGTATTCCTCTTGCCTGAGACTCCTGAGTGACTGGGATTACAGGTGTGTACTACCATGTCTAGCGTTCTCCATGCTTTCGATGACCAATATAAGTAAAATCCTGTGGTATTTGTCTTTTGTGACATGCTTGTTTTACTAAGCATGATATCCTCTATGTTCACCCATGTTACAGCATATTTTAGAATAT